AAGAGGAGCCTGGAGCTCTTCCGGGTCTCCCACATGGATGCAGGGTTCCAAGGCTTTGGGCCGTCCTCCACTGCTTTCCCAGGCCACAGGCAGGGAGCTGGATGGGAAGCAGGGCTGCCGGGATTAGAACTGGTGACCATATGGGATCCTGGCACGTGCAAGGTGAAGACTTTAACCACTACGCTATTGCTCCCGGCCTGAAAACCTGCATTTTTGCCTGGGAAAGAACGAAATTTGGGGACTGGGACTGTGGCATGACGGATAAAGCCACCACTTGCAACACCAGCATCCCAGATGCTCTGCTTCCAGTCCAGCTCTCTGTTAATGCCCTCAGCTCCTTGGGCCCCGGTTATCCACATGGGATATGGGGAAAGCTGCTGAATAGGTAGATGTTTGTTCTTGCCATACTCCCAAAAATGAGTTAACTGTGAGAGAACAGGTGTGTGAATTTGCTTTACAAAAGCACCCATTTTAATATCTAAGAGAATCCTAAATATACCTTTAAAATCAATAAGTTGAGTCATCCAGTAAATGAAGTAACAGGGTGGGCTAGGTTCTGCTGTCAGCTTGCCCAGTGGCATGACCCACACCCACCACAGGGTGGCGCATCTGAAAGCCACCAGGCCTTGGCTCCCAGGGCTGCTTTGTGTTTGAAAACTGCTGCCTCTTCCTCCTCCAGCTGGTGTTTGGAAGGACTGTTGGATGAGGCAGGTTTTTCTTCCTGCCTGCTGGTGCTCCCCAGGACTTGGGCACACAGGAGGGTGGGGGCAGGGAGAAGATGGAGATGGGTGGGTCCATGTCATCTTGTCCTGCTGAGCTGGGTGGTCCTGGAGAGAGAAGTCCCCCTCCCCGCCAGAAATGTGCTGTGCCGTACATGAGGGCAAGGCCCTCACCAACTCCTAACACGCCAAGAGGAGTTGGGCTCTGAGTTCCATGCACCTGCCAAGTTCTGACACCGCAGCCCAGCAGTACCCAGCAGAGCTTGAGAAATGGGTGGCCTTGGAGGCCACCTGCCACCTGTCCCCAGAGGCCACTCAGGTCCCCAGAAAGATGGAGCCTCCTGGTGACTCACACCCTCCAGAGGCCTTCCTTGTAACTACTCCATAGAGCGGTAGGGTCTTCTTTTTTTAAAAAGGATTTAGTGAGAGTCAGACACTTCAAGTTCTTCCATCTGCTGGGTCACTCCCCAAATGCTAAGGCCGGATCTGACCCAAGCCAGGACCCTAAGCCTTCATGTGGCTCTCCCCAGTGGTGGCAGGAGCCCAAGCATTGTGGGTACACCACAGCAGGCGGCCACACCCAGGTCCTCTGAAGGCGCTGCAGCTTCCCAGATGGCACCCTAACCACTGTGCCAGTCACCCCACCCACCCCTTGTCTCATCTTTAACAGAGGAAACACTTTGCAGGATTTGAGCAAGGATGGAAGGGCGTGTTGTGGCAAGGGTTGTAGGACAAGAACCCTACCTCATCCCTCCTTGTCTGTCCATCTCCAGACCTGGAGCCCAGCACCCCACTGCACAGATGGGGAGTGTACAGGGAGGAGATCTAGGGTGCTGTGTTGCACCCCGCTCGGCTACCCCAGTAGGCCCGGAGGACAGTGGACTTCGGGTAGGCACAGGGAGGAGAGGGTGCAGTCCTGCTCTTACGCACAGAATGAGTGGTAATTGCGCATATGTATTCCAGCCTCACTCTTTTTCACTTGCTCATGTTTGTGTCTTATAGAACAAGCTGTTCCACGTCATGTATGCCTCATGTATAATCTGCCCACACATGTTGAAATGTTAGAACAGGCAGGTGCTTGTGGCTGCTTTGGATGCCTTCATCTTGTAACAGTGCCTGGGAGGCAGCAGGTGGGGTCTGAGTCCTTGGTCCCTGCCACCCACATGGGAGATCTCAGTGGGGTCTTCTGGTTCCTGACAGTGGCCTGGCCCAGCCCTGGCTGCTGTGAGCATTTGGGAGAGTGCACCAGTAAACGGGGGGAAAAAATTTGTGCTTATCTCTCTCTTTCTCTCTCTCTTTCTGTCTCTCTCTCTCTCTCTCTCTCTCTTTGTGTCCCTGTCTCTTCTATTTCTTTGCCTTCCATTCTCCAGCAGAGGCCTGGAGACCACTGGGCAGACGTTTAGCTGAACAAGCCATTGGGGTTTCCATTTCACCTTTACAAGGTGGGAAGAAATGAGCGAGGCAGGCAGTGGGGGACACGGCCTCTCCACCTCTGGCTGCTGAAGCCCTGGGGCTCCTGGCCATGTGTGTTTCATGAGAGGGCCACCTCTGGGGCAACCATGAGGCAGGCTGATGGATGTGGTCGCTCCGTCCTCTGGCCTGTAAAAGCCAGGTGCCTCGCGGGGTGCGATGGAAGAGTGGGTGAGACAACCACGCGGCACCCATGGCATTGTTTTTGCTCTTTGCTGTGTTTGAAAGGTAGAGGAGCAGAGAAAGAAGGACAGAGAGAGGTCTCCTATCCGCTGGCTCACTCTCTGAAATGGCTACAACAGCCCCAGGGCTGGGCCAGACTAGGCCGTGGTCAGGAGCCTGGAATTCAGTTAGGTCGCCCACATGGATGGCAGGGACCCAAGTCCTCGAGCCATCCTCTGCTGCCTCCCAGGGTACACATTAGCAGGAAGTGGGACTGCAAGTGGAGTAGCCAGGACTTGAAACAGGAGCTTCCCTATGGTGTACAGGTGTTCCACGTAGTGCCTCAACCTCTACATGGAAGCTGCCTTCCTCTCGTAGCATTTTATCTGCTTCCCTGCCATGTGCCTCCTGGGTGCTTACCATGCGCATGCGTTCCTGGTTCTGCAGGTGGGACCCAGTTACTCTTCACTGCAACTTTGAGGGCTGAACGCTGCTAGCAGCCCTTTCTGCTGATGCTGCTGGAGCTCAGAGAGATGCTGTCCCCTATCCTGGGTTGCACAGCCTCCCCATGGCTTACATGCAATGTAAAGAGGGCCATCTTGAATCCCATCTATGGGAGATGCCGAGTCACCCAGGACCATTGTGATGGACAGGCGTTAAGGGGGGTGAACCTGTGGCTTAGTGTGGCTGATTCATGTCTGTGTCCCAGCATCGTCGCCCCCCACTCATAGGCAACGGTCTGTGGTCCCTGCTGCCCACCTGGAGCTGGACGCCATGTGGTTTCCAGGTGACTTGACGCAGCGTGCAGCCCAGGGCTGTTCCTTTTGATCCTGGGTTTTGAAGTTTTATCTTCTCCTGGACTTTGTTAAACTCTCAGCCAGCCGGAAGATCACAGCTGCCCCCACCACCCCTCGTGCTGTAACTGCTGCCTGGCTCCTGGTCTCCAGGTTAGCAAATTAGCCCAATTAGATGGGTAAATGAGTCATCCTCGGCGCTGGAGCCCTGCTGATGGACTTATGGAGCAGTAGTTACCATTTTCTAAGCAACAGTCTGCCAGAGAGTGGCGTACAGCATCCTCCGCTGAGTGGATATCGCTGGCAATGCCCTGCTGAACAGACCCCAAGGTCTGCCCACAGGCAGGGTCCTGGCCGGGCACCATCCCACGCCAGGGCCCCTGGAGTGCACCTTCTGCGGGAGCCTTAGCCAAGAACGGTGGGGTTTACCAGAAGCCATATTAAAAACTGCTTTTTTTTCCCCGACAACCAGCCTCAGACTTCCCCTAGCGTGGGAAACAGAAAATGGGGCATAGGACACCCCACAGAGGTTCCCGGAGAGCCCTGGGGCAGCTTGGAGCCAGTGGCATCCCCTAGGCATTGAGGATGTGCATGTGTTTTGCACTCCCAGCCCCTGCACCAGGGCCCACCCTCCTCTGTGTACGCACGGGACAGTGATCCTCCCGAGCTCGGGTTAGCTGACTCGGGCAGCCCTCGGCACCCGTCCTTCCTCCCTGGATCCTCTCAACTCCCAGCCTCCAATGCCAGCATCCATGTCCCCCAGCTCAGCTAGTGTGCTTCAAACAATCTTATAAATGCCCATTAAAACGAAACCCAATAAAAGTGTCAATATCTGGTGTTGAAATAATTGATGTGGCCGGACTGAGCCCGCAGGGCACCCCGGCGGGCCCCTGGGGCCATTTCAGCCTCACACCTGGGGGATGAATTTCACAACTGTAATTGCCACCATATAATTCTTATTAATGTCGTGCCATAATTCGTATTTATTCCACAGGGCTTGTAAATGCATTAGACTTGTCAACATATTATTTTACACCGTTTATGATCTGTGGAATTATGTCCTTCAGGCCCATGCCGTATCGATGGCTTTGGGCCTCGTTAAGGGAAGGCTGAGAGGGGCTGCTGGCCAGCAGGTGCCCGTCCCCAGCGCAGCCCTTGGTCCTCAAGAATAGATGACAGTGGACAGTGTTCCCTCCCCCCCGCCCCGGCCCACACATACATACCCATCCTGCTGTGTGACTGGAGGAACCGTGGCAGTGCAGACCCCACGCGGGCTGGGTGGGCAGCAGTGGCTCTCTCACCCAGAAAGCAGCCCTGCACCTGCCTGTGCCAACCACTTACACCTCCTTTGTGGCGCTTGGCACTTGTGCCCCCTCCCCACGCCTTGTTTCCTTTGAATTACAAATTCCTCTAGAACCTTCCTGGGGGAATCTTGTAAAACTATGAAGCGCCACTGAAATCTAAGAACAAAGTATTCAAAGTACTCGGCTCTCATGCACTTGGCTCTGTGAAGCAGGACCAGGGCAGGGGCGGGGGCACTGCGATTGCCAGCTTGTGTGGGGGCGACAGGGGGCTCAGCCATTGTTTCTGCGTTTAGGGTTGAGCTCAGAGCCTTCCCGGTGCCCGTGTGGACGGATGTCCAGGTTCATCAAGAGCCCGGCTCAGGGTCTTGCTCAGCCAGGTCCTAGCTGTGCGTCTGTGGGAAGCTGGCCAGCTGGTCTCCCTCGGGCCTGTCCCTACAAATCCCGGTGCCTTGGGTCCCACGGCACCTCCTAGGGGGGCCAGAGCGGCCGCGCCCCTGTCCTGCACAGCCTGGCCGGCCTGACCCCTCCGGGGCTGTCTTGTGTCCCCACAGGCAGTGAATACGACGAGGAGGAGGTGGACTACGAGGAGTCGGACAGCGACGAGTCCTGGACCACCGAGAGCGCCATCAGCTCGGAAGCCATCCTCAGCTCCATGTGCATGAATGGGGGCGAAGAGAAGCCTTTCGCTTGCCCGGTGCCAGGGTGCAAGAAAAGATATAAGGTAAATGGGGTACCTCACCCAGCACCCCCATGAGCAAAAGGGCACACCTCCCAGGAAGGGGCAGGCATGTGCCGCTTGCTCCGCATGTGCGCTGGGCTTGGCCTTAACGCAGCTTAACGCTCAAGGTGCTGACCGCATTGGCAGGACGTTAGAGAACATCAGTGAGGGACCAACTGCAGGTTCTCTTCAGTTTAAAGATGAGATAAGGCACTGGGATATCAAGGGTATCAGCCATCTGCCCAGGAGGCCGCGCTGTGGGATGTCTGTGTGTGTGTCTGGGAACGGCAGCTAGGAAGGCCCCAGGGAGGCCAGCTGGTTTAAAGAGAACCCGACTTTGGTATTTCCTTATCCCATTCAGCTTTAGCCTGGGCTCTTGCAGGTCTACTGGCTCAAGAGGGTGGTCAGCTCAGGGCACAAGGCCCATCCATGAATAAAACTCACGGGGGAAGGGACAGCGGGAGATACCCTGGCATGCAGCAGGGGAACCGAGGGCATTTCATGAGGCAGAGTTGCAGACTGCCCCAGGCCCCAAGGCCTTGGCACTGTGAGGGGTGGGGGTGGGGGACACACTGTTATCTGTTCCATGTCTCAGAGCGGGGCTGGCAAGTGCCACCTGGCTCAGAACCTGGGAGAGCAGCTCAGGTCCCACCGGGCAGTGCAGCGTTGCCGAGAGCCATCCTTCTCTCATCAGTGCTAGTGAAAGCTAGAGGCAGCTCTGGGCTGTGGGTGCCAGCTCTGCGTGTCCCCTTGTAATCGTCTTTCATCAGCGGTGGTAAAAGATGGGAGGGGGTAGGTTAACACAAGCCATGCTCCCTCTGGTGCAGGGCAGGCATTCTCTCGCCCCTTCCTCCAGCTTTGTTCTTGTACCTGCTCACAGCCTTTCCTCTGGTCATTTCTAGTTCCTTTTTCCTGGATCCCCAGCAGTTTCCACCTTCATGTCACTGTATCAGGTTGGATGGGCATCTTTCTCAATGTCCTCTCTCCATCCAACAGCTGCTGGCTTTCGTGTACCGCTAATCAGCAGGTGACACGAGCGGCCACTGGTGGTCATAATCGCTGTGCTCCAGGCCAGGATGCCCAGTGAGGACCCACAGGAAAGGCCAGCCATGCACCTGCTGCTTGGACCAAGGCCTTGTGATGGTCTACTGGAGTTCCCTGAGCTTTTAGTTTGACCATCGATTTGACTGAAATTAAGTTATTTACAATTTGTATTTTTTTTTTTTTTTTGAGACAGAAGGTTCCCATTCACTTGGTTGACTCCACAAATGCCTTCCATGGCTGAAATTGGCCCACGATGAATCCTGGAGCCAAGAACCCAATCCAAGTCTCCCATGAGTGGCAGGGACCCAAGTACTTGACCCAGGTGCCTGCAGCATCCCAAGTTGCACGTTGATAGCAAGCTGGATTGGAAGTGGAAGAGCCAGGGTTCGTCAGGCACTCTGACACAGGTTGCAAGCTATCCCAGGTAGAATCTTAATTCCCATGCCAACACTGGCCCCTCTTATTGTCTTGCCTTACCTCATGGTTGTCAGCTGTACTGCTAGAGCAGAGGGTGGTCGCAAGCAGGTGTGTTGGGGGTCAGGCAGAATCTGGAAGTGTCGCCATCTTGTGTATCCCAAGGCAGTCAGACTTTGCTTACTCCTGTTGTAGAACCTCCTCTCTCCCCAGCACACAAGTTGGGAGGTGCTGCTCAGAGCTCCAAACCCAGGTCCACTTGCCCAATGCATAGCCACTCATTGACCTTGGGGTGGTAGAAGTAAGTTGGTGTTTATTGCAAAGCATAGAGCAAGGAGCCAGACAGCTATTGCGTAATTCCTGGACTCCCTGAGGAGTTTAGGGGTGAAAGTTCTTGTTGGGGCAGAGAGGTTGTGATCAGCTTGTGTCCAAGCCCCCGGCTGCTCAGTGGTACTCTGGCCTCCTTTGGTTCATGATGGCCCATGAGGTCGTGCTCTTTGCGGAATTTCGGTGGCAGGTGGGATCCAGTCAGCCTGAGCAGTGACAGCCATGCAGTCATCATGCTTTGCCCTGGGTCTAGAATTACCTTGCGGGGCCTGGAGTTATCCTTCACAAACCCCTTCGGACAGTACTGGCCAACAAGGTGGTATCTATGGGAAGCAAATGACTAGAAGCTTGCAGGGTCAGCCACACAACTCCCTCAGTTCCTTGAATTCCTTTTTATTAAGGAGAAGGACACCCTGAACCAAGGGAGACGATGGGAGCCTGTGCCTCACCTCTGTTGTGGAACAGCCTCGCCACCCCCTCCCCGGCAGCAGGGTCTCTAACCAGAGGTCTTGACTCAGAATGAGCTGTTCCCACCGCTGCACTGGTGATCAGGAAGCAGAGAGAAGATGAAGTGCAGCTTCCCAGACGTCCCACTGGGAGAACAGGATGGGGCCGTAGCGGTACGACTAACCTCCACATTGCCCTCACACCAGTTCCTTCATCTAGGATGCCCTCTTCCCTAGGGAGGGCAGGACTTTGTTCTCAACCACCATCAGTTCTCAGCAAACGACAGTGACAAGTCCACAAGCAAGCGGACTGTGTGTGCATGAGACACAACCACAGATGAGGAGCTCTCAAGGCTGCCCTAGCTCAGGTGGCATCTTCAACACAGGCCAGCCAGATGGCAGGCAAAGGTTGGCTGCTCCCACACTACCAGTGCTGCCCCCCGGGAACCCTGAGTTCTCCCTGGGGCTGTGGGCACAGCTTTTGTGCCTTTGCATCTATGCCATCTTTAGGCTCCAGAGGGTTCTTTACCTCCCCGATTCCCAGTTGCCTTGCACTTACCAGGTCTCATCAGACACCATGCGGTCCCTAACCTCCTCCCCATCCCCCTTCAATGCCACCTGCTCTGAGAACCCCACACCCCTTCCCTGACTGCAGGCTAAACTCACACTGTGACATGTTACCTGTCCCCAGACCTCACGGCTCCCAGTATTGTCCTCACCTGTGGGACGTGGTAGGCATTCTGAGGACAGAGGTGTGGAGAGAGAGAGCGAGCCAGGGAAGGGGCTCCCAGCCTTGGGACTCTGGGTGGCAACCCACTCCTTCCTCCTTTGGGACCCCAGGACCACCCAGCCCCTGCCTCCCAGGAGGCACCTGGCGTTTTGTTCCCTTCAGGGACAGTGAGCATAGACCCAGTGCCCTTTCTAATCCTGACTAGGCCTCACACCCCAGTACAGGTGCTTCGAGGGTTTCTATGTTAGAGTTCTAAGACCTTCCATGAAGCAGAACCGACACCCGCCCTACACAAGGGAGCAGCAGTGGGACACACGGCCCTCCCAGACCTGCAGCCTGTATGTGGAGCCCAGCAGAGCCCCTGCTGGGGCCACAGGTGTGTCCTTTCTGGACAGCCAGGGCTTTTTTTAAAAAGATTTGTTATTATTTTTTTATTGGAAAGGCGGATATTCAGAGAGGAGAGACAGAGAGGAAGATCCTCCTTCCAATGATTCACTCCCCAAGTGAGCGCAACAGCCGATGCTATGCCGATCTGAAGCCAGGAGCCTCTTCTGGGTCTCCCACGCGGGTGCAGGGTCCCAAAGCCTTGGGCTGTCCTCGACTGCCTTCCCGGGCCACAGGCAGGGAGCTAGAAGGGAAGCGGGGCTGCCGGGATAGAACCGGCGCCCATATGGGATCCCGGGTGTGCAAGGCGAGGACTTAACCACTTGTGCCACCGCGCCAAGCCCCAGCCAGGGCTTGCAGGACTCCCAGCAAGGCGCCTGGCCTGGCAGTGAAGACTCTGCTTAGGATACCCGTGTTCCCACATGACAGTTCCCAGGCGCGAGCCCTGGCTCGTTATCCCAGCTTCTCACTAGCGTGCATCCCGGAGAGAACAGTGGGCTCAGCTAACTGGGCTCCAGCCCCCGCTGGGTGTCGGGGGAGACCTGGACTGAGTCCCCAGCTCCTGGCCCTCATGGGACTTGGCTGGGCACTGTCTCCCCCCCACTGATTCACTCTTGGCTGACTGTGAATCAGCCAGCAGAGGGAGGGGCTGAGGTGCGCAGGTTCCCTGGCCAGCCCTGGCCGCGTTTGCCTGTCCCCAAGCTGCGCACACAGCACCGGCCTGCCAGCCAGACCCGCGGCAGGACCTGCTGCGCTGCCTAGGCTCCAGCTCGTCCTTCCCCTGGGGAGTTCTGCACCCGATCTCACACTGGCCTCACTTCCTGTAGCCGTTGTGGAATCTGGTTCCAAACTCGCCCTAATGAGTTATAAAAACTAATTAGTTAGCCTAGAATGGGGGTCTAGCTTGGCTGCTGCCGGAGTTGCCTTTAATGTTTAGTTTCCTCTTTATTCCAACAAGGTGCGCATGCTGCTGGGTCCTGTAACAGGATGGCTGCCCAAACAGCCATGTGTGAAATGTCCTGGGAACCCCTCATGCCCAGAAAAAGGCCCTGCTGGGTGCTCAGTATGTGTAGGGCTACAAAGTAGGGGATTTGCAAGGCCGCTAAGAAACGTGCATTTCTAGCTTTTCAGTCTTATTACTCGGCCTGATTTTCTCTCTCTCTCTCACACACACACACACCCCTACCTACCTTAAACACAGCCTTCTTCCCTGGTTCTGTGTGTTGACTGGCTCTCGTGGGTGGTCTTACCTGCACCTGGCATTTAGGGTTGCGGTCATGGGGAGGAGCTTCCCGGCAGACAGAGGTACACTGGTCTCTTCACCAAGGTCCCGGGCCTTTCTCCTGGCAGACACAGGTCAGAGATGGTGGGTCTGGTCCTGCCCAGTAAGACTGGTAGGGTGGCAGGGGAACGAGGCCCGGGCCAGGCATTTGGCACAAAGGGTGTCAGTTAAGCAGGCAGCTAGAAGACTGAGCACAACCACGTGAGGCTCCCGGGGGGGGGATCTCTGTGTTTGACATTGTCGGTGTATCCTGAAATACTAACCTCCAAATGCTTAGTTTTAATAGCAACCTTCCCAGCTGCTTCGAGCATACAGGCATGGGGTTGCAAAAACACTCAAGCTAGTCAGTAAACAGACCCTGTTTTCTGGGAGCTGGCTACAGGCATCCTGTGCAAAGCGGGCGGCTTGGAATCCCTGAGAGAGACATGGGTCTGGCCCCAGCAGGAGGAAACACTGTTTGGTAGAGGGAACTCAACATCAAGTCCTGGGCCCCCTGCTCTGTTCCTGTAACTTGTCTAGCAGTAGCTGAGACTTGGACATCTCAATTGGACAAGCAGTAGAAACTGAAACTTGCAGAGGATGAATCCAGGAGGGAGTTAGACTATCCCAGTGAGCTAGCAAAAGCAACAAACCCAGCAAGCATCTTAGTGGCCTAATTTGTAACATCTGGATGTTTAAGAAATTCAGTGTTAGCACTTTGTTGCCTGGACTAACTAAGCCGTAAGGAGCCTAAACTGTTAAGGTGTATGTCTGACAGATGCAGTAAAGGCCAGGTGAGGTGCTGGTGCAGGACTGAGGAGCTGCAAGTGGCACAAGACGCAGCGCTTCAACCTCGGACCAGGCGGGGAACTGTTGTCAGTGGTCTGGAACTATTTCCAAATCAGTAATCTATGCAAACCCTAGGTGGTTTTTGTTTTTAAATGTTGAGAGATCTCCCATCTGCTAGTTCACTCCCTAAATGCCCGCAACAGCCAGAGCTGGGCCAGAGTGAAGGCAGGAGATGTCACGTGCCGGGCAGTGACCCAAGCACGTACCAGATGATGGTTCAACAAGAGGGTGGATCAGAAGCAGAGTAGCCGAGACTGAACCGGCAACCTGATCTGGGTGGACCACCGCACCCGTTTTCTTCCCAGCGGTGTGCTGGTCACATCATCGCCCACTGCTGACTGTAGAGGCTGCACACTTGCTGCTGGAGGCAACGAACTGCGCTTACTCTCCTCCCTAGAGTCTCCCATGTGTGTTGTGTGTGAAGAAACAAACACTTGCATTCTCAGGGTGATTAAGGTATACGTGAAACTTCGCAGTTAGCCATGGGACCCATCTACCCCGTGCACAGTACGCATGCTGGACTGCCCGGGGAGGGTCACAGCTGGACTGCCCGGGGAGGGTCACAGCTGGACTGCCCGGGGAGGGTCACAGCTGGACTGCAGGCCAGCGCCCAGTGACAGCCGGCCTGTGACTGCATCCATCTAACAGGTACTACTACTTTCTTCCCCCCAGAATGTGAATGGCATCAAGTACCATGCTAAGAATGGTCACAGAACACAGATTCGTGTCCGCAAACCATTCAAATGTCGGTGTGGGAAGAGTTACAAGACAGCTCAGGGCCTGCGGCACCACACAATCAACTTCCACCCCCCGGTGTCGGCCGAGATCATCAGGAAGATGCAGCAATAACCCGCTGGTTGTAACTGTGCCAAGAAATCCTCACCAGCAGTTGCTGATTTTGAAAACAGCCACCTTTTTTTCAGGGTAAGCACTCAGCAACCCTTTAAAGAATTAAATGCATGCTTTAAACCTTTTCTGTAATTTTGGAATGATGTATCTTTGTAGCGTTAATGATTTTGTACATTTGCACATGGAATCATCTACCCACTTTCATTACTTTGATGTAAGGTGCTAAACAAACAAGCTCCAGGTTCTTCAGCACATTTCCCCCAAAACAAACCCGAGGGAGGGCGGGTGGCAGAGCGCTCGGCTGCCCTGCAGTGGTAGCGGCTGGGGGAGGAAGGGCCGGCACGTAGGTATTTTTCCCAAGATTGTAACGTGATTGAAGTTGTTCAACACATCAATTCACATGTGTTCAAAACCAAAACAATACCTTCATTATCAAGCTGTTACCATGCCTTACATGACGCAGTTAGCATTTGTGAGTAGAAAGACTTTAGGTAATGGAACTATAAATAAGAATGTTTAACAATATGCTAAAAATATTTTCATATTTAAATAACATACATAAAAAGGTGTGCTTTCTGTGTTTTATATTATCTTGCAAAATCCTTTTTGCCCTTTCAAAAGCTGAAAATCTTGCCATCTGACTTACCAATAATGTTAGTGTTACAAACTGCATTTTTGTATGAGTCTGTCCAGTTCCCTCATTAACAGTTGAGTGCCTGCTGGGTGCGAGAGGTTCTTCTGACGCCTACTGTGATCTGCGGACCAAGATACCAGTGGAGTGCAATCCTTTCCCTGAAATGTTAGCAAACGCTTTGAAGTACTGAAGTGCAAATTTGGTGTGTGAAGTTTATTACATCTTCATCTCCAGCTGAAGCTGAAAGCACTTTGTAGTTCTCTATTGCCAACTGCTTATGTGTTGCCAATTCTTGCAAGCACTACCCCTAACCAATCTGTGCGTTGCAAATCCAAGTTGGAAGCATGCTGCAAAGAGGCACATTTTCGTTAAGACCCCAACTGCCGCCTCTTCCCACTTACTGTGTTGGAGACTTCTTAAAGGCACTTTTCCCATCACACTGTACATGTCTGCATCCTCCTTGGAAATGTCTGTTTAGCTTTATAAACATTTTTGCTGAAATATGAAAATGAGCCTTATTGACAATTAAGTGCTTCTTGCAGCAGGTGGTCAAAGAAAAGTGACTAATATGACCCATAAGAGTAACTAACATCTGGACCATTCCTGAAGTTTTTCTCACCGACAGTACCATCATGCCTTGAGTGTTTTCTCCCAAGTGCTATTCCTTACATGAAAGAGTTTACCAGTTGCCTAATTATGCAATAAAAAAAACTGCTTGAGACAGCTAAGCCCCCCACAAAACAAACTGAAGAAACGCAAAAGCAAACTGCATACCACTTTCTTCCCATGTTCCCATTTGACAAAATTTACACAAGAGCTGGGAAACAGGGGTCCCTCCGAAGAGATGACAACTCTGCTAGCCAGATGGGTAGCTCCTGTGTCCCTAAGCTGCGAATCCCTCATGAAAGCAATGATAGACACTGCCCTCTAAAACTTTCCTCAGATTTCTACTAGTGGTCATGGTCCCAAATATAGTGTTATCCTCCATGTTTAAAAGGGTGATCCAGACAGGAGAAACAGCTAGTTGGCGCAGCAGAAGGCCCTACTTGGCTAGTTCATATCTACCTATAGTTGACCAAAAAAGTTTATAGGCCAGCAATTTTCTTTTAGCTTTGCTCCTTCTAGTGCAAAAAAACAAAAACAAAAACAACTGCAGGCTGGATCAATAGTTCAAACAGCTAAACAGTCATCAAATAGTCATTGTGCATGTTCAATTTCTTTCAACGATAAAACAAATTTCAATTTGTATTTACTTATTCATTGTGACAGTATTAACAGGTAAGGATGGGAATATTTTGTTATACCGTGTATAGTGAATGTATTGTACCGTGTCTGTGAAAACTGTGCTTTAAATTATATTTTCATATGTTTTGTTGGGGACAGAGCACATTAAGTCTGAAAGCAACAGAGGTTTGTTTTAGAACTGAAGGCAACTTAAATCAAAATTCCTGTCAAGAAAAGCTGCTGCTAAGTGTAAACAAAAATCACATTTAAAATAAACTGCCTCTGACCCAACATCTGCGTGGTTCTGTTTTTGTCTCTGGTCATCATGCAGACAGTGACCGGGTGCCTGGAGGAGCTGCCCCCCACATGCAGTGCCCCACCCATGCTCTCCACAGCCCTGGCATCCTTCAGGTGACACATGGATTTGGTTTTCTTGCACACTACACTGCACTGCTTTTCTATCAGCAACAAGTTACTTATCAAAAACTTAGAGCCAACAAGGATTTTAAAATAAGTTCTAGGCTCTAACATGCATACACTTGAAACCCCAGACCTCCAGAAATGTGTGGTGAAGGTGATGAAAGTACTATACAGCAAAGGCATAACTAAAGAAACAAACAGTTTATCCATTATGGTTTTAATTATTTTCTAAATACTATTTCAAACATATATTCTCACCAGAAAAAAGTGAAAATACACATTGTGATGTTTGTGCCACCAACACCAATGTTGTGTAATATGAAAATAATTGTACTTACACATCTTGTTCCATTATCCTGTTAGGTAGAAATACAACTTTAAGCTTGCTTAAAAATAATCACTCAGGTCATCTGCCATAAAGTTAGTAAAATATGCTTTCCAGTAATGCCTGAAACTGACATTTCTAAAAAGATTTATTTGCAAGTATGTGATCTCACAGAACATGTAGCTTCACTTAAAACTATCATTTCATAGCATTCAAAGGACTACTTTGTAAAGCTTATCAATGCTCTTTATTACATATTTAGTAGTCATGCTCAATCAACAAAGTCAACAGAAACATGTAAATATTCTGCTAAATAATCTAGCACACTAATAACATTTTTCAGTGCAATGACATTAAAATAATTCCTGTATTTTCTTCATACAATTTTGCAAACAGGAGAATAAATATATAAACACACAAGAACTTATTTTCTTAAGCAGGTAGGAAGAACAGAGGTTAAGATTCGGTTTATTGGTAAGCCAAACACTGCCCCTGCCTCTAGTATCACCAAACTGGAAGTAGCTCTTGGTCAGAAAGCAGAGGGTACAGGAACGGGATACCTTGGGCTCTCCTTAGTGGTCTATTATTTGAGGTGATTTTTACTTCTAACTTCTAAATGTGATTAACTCATAACAAAAAGTACCTAGTCAAAATTCAGAACATTCTGATCAAAATGGGTCTGGACGTGCCTTTCAAAGCCCTGCTGGTCGTAGTCAGGCGGGAACTGCTCGCTGCACATGGGACACACTTTCCAGTGGCTTTCAACGTGTTCTTCAAATTTGCTCTGATCGTAGTTGGGAGGGAACATTAACTCGCAGAGGGGGCACTTCTTGTGAACATCAAAGCTTGAATGAAAGGAAACGAAAATTTCTAATTTAATAATTCCAAACAAGTGTCAATACAAGGTTATATTTATTTAGCTAGCAAATACATACCAGACAACCTGACATAAAGTATCTTTTAGAATTTTTTTGCTTCTGAATGCTATAAAAACTCTAATTTTACTAGATTAACAAAATCCATTAATTAAAAAAAAATCCAATTGCATTATATGAAAGGAGTCTTAGTGCTAAAAATTCAATCCCTAATTATAAGAAGAGCTTCTTGTAAAACTGGAAAGACTCTAATTCCCAATTTCCCAACAGTGCTTCCGTGGTCTGGCAGCTGGAAGGGTTTGGGGCACTGGGAGAATCAGTCAGCGAGCTCTTACATGCTGGACCTTAAAGTTCAGTTGACTGGGCTCCAAGATTTCGTATTTTGTGACAAGAAGAGGGAACCACACTTTGACAACCACTGGACTACGTAAGCTAAATTTTACAAAGGAAAAATAAAAATTCACCTGGAATCAAAGCAGAAGCCTGTTCCATGCCCGCGTCCACGCTGACTTGAAGGGTCGGGAGCACTAGGCATAGCCTCGTCCTCCTAGGCAAAAAAGCATTTCCAACTTTTGAGAAAAGTGAAACCAAACTCAAATTCCTTAAGTCAACCCCTTTAGAAAGATTACACATGAGGAAATTCTACCATTTAACTTTCCCTTAAACATGTTTGAAAGTAAGCTTTGCAGTTATTTCTCTAGGCCACCCTAAAATACTGGAACCCTTTTTATGGAGATATTCAGAAGATTTAATTCCTAAGTCAGTCACGTAAGAGATTAACTATTCTTAATCATTAAACAGAACAATTCAATAAAATACTATAAAAGAAAGTTCTATATTTGTGTCTCTTATTGTCTCTCTCAAAGTGACTTGTCGCCATCACCGTTTCACTTCAGGAGGTACATCCCAGCTTGTCCTGCCCGAGACCTGAGCTGCCCTGATCCCCACCTCAGCAATTCAGGACCGTCACTCCACACCAAGTTACTGTAGACACAGACACTACATCACTGTGACACTGGGGGGGGGGGGGGGGGGCAGGCTATTTCATCACACTATTTAGAACACACCAGTTAAAACCCAGGAATCATTCCCCTCTGCAATTGGCAATATTTTCAAACTTTGGCTACCTGAGAGTTACAAAATTTTGGAAAGCAAAACGTGGACAAGGACAGATGACTAAATGGCAGTACTGAGTGTACTGCTCTTCAGACTATCTGTAAGCAACTGAGTTTTTACCATTCTGTACACGTGGGGACTACTCCCAGAGATCTCTTACGGCTGCAGTTACTCCAATTATCCTCAACCATTAAGCTCTTTTGTAGAATAAAGCTCAAAATTTTCGATAAGCAGGTTGTCCAGTGAATCGTACAAAGCTGGAGCATGAACCAGTGACTTAGCATCCCTTGTGTGTCCAAGTGGGCAGTTCCCTAAAGAGATCTATGCAGGCGACATCCACAGCCAAGCACAGAAACCTGCTCCACACCAAAAGCAGCCACCTCACCAAAGCTGGTCATGAGCTCTCTTCCTCTAAGCGGTTTCCAGCCACTCTATGGTCGTGTAGTAGCAGCATGCAACAGCAGGCAGTGAGAAAGCCTCGACAATGAGGGTTACTCAGGCTTGCCAGAGCTGCCAGGAATGGAATAATCAACTGTGTCACGGGCAGAGATACCACAAATGTATGTGAAGTGAACTAAGAAATCTAGGTGGATTTGGCTTTTGTTCCGGGAGTGTGTGCATGCGTGTGTCTATCACCGACAGTTTTCTCTTAAAGAAAGGCTCTTTCTTATAATGTTCATCACATGAAAAATGACTTTGTTTACATATATCATTTACATGGGATGTAACTGGACAAAAGGAAAATAGGACTCAAAACCTAGAAACACTGTACATGCTCCCACACGCAGTTTTCAGGTAAATGAAATCCAGAGTCTTTCTGAGAGGACGAGACAGTGTTCACGCCCGAGTGTGCAGAGCTCAGCAAGGGGTGTAACCCACGGCAGACCTTCCAGCAACACCACTGCAAACACCAAAAATGACAAGATACATTGCAGTGATGGGAAACAAAATTATCTTAAAGAAAAAGCTCTAATTTTTGAAATGGTGAAGAAAATGAGAAAAAAATGAAAAGGAAAGATCTTGATATCCTTGTTTAGGAAAAAAGTCTCCCAGTTTCCTCTCCCTGTTTGCTAGCAGCTTCCACCAGCTTCCACTGCCATGAACTGCTATGAATCCGTGCACAGACAGCTGTGGGCTGAAGCGCCAGACCTCGTAGCTGAAGGGTGGAGGGGGAGTAGAAGCTCACACTTGCTAAGCCCTATCTCATTCGGCAATGACAACCTGACTCATCTTCCACCACCTATTATTATGCAGTACAAGGGGGAAAGGAACCTTAGTCGCCTCACATATGGCATCATAGAAACACCTTCAAACAGTTCACCACCAGTCAATCCCTTCAGTAGCCCATCTGCAACAGCCTCTCATGATGCTACATGTCAGATGATCCAGCAGATCTTCACTCAAGAAGACACTCACTTTTAGTTAATTAGCTTCCAAAACCACAGATTTAAAACAACAGAGACTTTGAAGTGAGGCTATTAAGAAAAACAGGACAAGAACTCAAACACCTATGAGGTATTCAGCAGTGGATCACAGTTACACATCTTAAAAGAACACGATGACATTGCATGTTATTTTTACTAAAGTTATTTTAAGTACTTCAAAGATCCAAACCCCGGGACTAGCACCGTGGTGTAGCACACTAATTGGCCACCTGTAGTACTAGCATCCCATAGAGATGCCAGATTGAGTCTGGCTGCTCCACTTCTGATCTAGCTCCCTTCTAATGGAATGGGAAAGCAGCAGAAGATGGCTCAATGCCTTGAGCTCCTGCTCCCATGTGGGAGACCCAGAAGCAATTCCTGGCTCCCCGAGCTTTAGGCTGGTCCACCTCTGGCCATTTGGGGAGTGAACCAGTGGATGGAAGATCTCCCTCCCTCACTCACACACACACACACACTTTCTCTTTCTCTCTGCCTCTTCTCTAATTCTTTCATGTAAAGCAAATCTATCTTGTGGTGAGAAGTGTTTTTATACCTTCAGGCCTACAGGTTTAGTACTGTTTTTATTACAGAATGATGTACAGCAATGATGGAAGCAATCCATGGTAAAGGCCTACCTGAAACTTGAAACCTTATGATGTACCCAGCTCAAAATATACTACATGCAAAATCATGCTTACATAAGCATATATAGCCAGCCTGGATAGTAGATACGCTATGGAAATAGGTTAAATTGCCAGATAATAACATAGGGCTAGATCACACTAGTGCATACATGAATAAAATGGAATACATATATCCATACAATGGACTATTTTTTAACCTATTCAAAAGGATGGAAATTCTAGCACATGGATAACTCCTGAAGATATTTTGAGAGAGAAAACCATTCACCAAAAAAGGCAATCAGTGTGACCTCACTCAGATGAGGTTACTCAGGAATCAGAGAAACTGAGAGGAAACAGCTGTGGGGACAGGGAAGCGGCAACACCATCAGGATGGAATTCTGGCACTAAGCACAAGGGTTGACGACACCATCTGAATCATCAGTACACAGACTAGGAGAACATTTACTCAAAATTTCCCAAACTTTGTAATTATTCGTTTGCTCGGAATTGGTAAAATAGTGTAGGACTATTCAGAAATCAATAACAATTATCAAGGAAGAAAACGGTTTATCACTTAAAACTCACTAAATTAGAAATTATTTTCCTTCAAAAGCATTTAGTGTCTGCAAAGGCGAAAGCCAACAAGGAAAAGCGCCCCTTGGTTCCGCCTCACCGTGTGACTCTTCTGTCAGCCTCGGAGGCCGAGCTCAGTTCCCAGGTTGTTGGGCTTCACAGTCAGACTCGACTACAGCACTGGCTCACCTGGGTCTGCAGCTCACAGAGCAGGTTACACACCACCACCACACTTGCCCTGGAGCAAAGAGCACGGTCCACGGTTTACCCTCCCCTACTCAGGCCTTGCTCCTGGCGGCCATTTTGAGAACCTGCCTCGTGAAGTTTTCTCAAGCTGCTGAGATGGTCTAAGTGCGTGGGCCCCTGCCACCCACATGGGACACTGGGTGGAGCTCCTGACTTTTGCAACCTTCTGGGAAGTGAACCAGTGGTTGCAAGATCTCTCTTTGATTTTCAAAGTAAATAAGTAAATCTTAGGGAAAAAAAAGACCCTAGTAGTTTCCACAGACTGTTGTAATAATGAAAAATTTCATTCATTCTAGAATTTTCAAATGAATATTCTCTATTTAAAAATCAGAAAAAAAATTTTAAGAACTAAGAAAATGTTTGAGCTTTAAGGGACACCATTAAGTGAGCAAACATTTACATTCTAAGTGTTCAAGGGGAACAGGAAAAAGACATTAAAATACTAAGAAAAGCAGGGAAAAAGTGTCAAGTCATGAGTTGAGAAACTTAATCAAACTTGTGAGCAGAAATCTTACGTCCGCAGAGAATGGAATGATATAGTAAGTCTCCACAAGACTACAACCAGCAAAATTATCCTCCAAAAATGTCACTTGCCATGATAAGTACAACCTGAGGGAGTTAATCACCAACAGGGCCATGCCGCCGGGCCCTAAAAATGATTTTCTTTAAAAAATGACCTGACCCAGGGATGATAGGTCAGCTCCTTACTTATGGCCTGGGAGAGCAGCAGAGTATGGCCCAGAGCCTTGGGACCTACGTGGGAGACGCACAAGAAGCTCCTGGCTCTTGGCATTGGATTGGCTCAGCTCCAGCCATTATGTCCATTTGGAGAGTGAATCAGTGAATAAAACATCTCTGTCTCTACTCCCGGTAAAAATCTGCCTTTCCAATAAAAATAGATAAATCTTAAATATATATGTATGTATGTGTGTGTGTGTGTGTGTGTATATGTATCAAAAATTGAAGAGGATGCAGAGAAAGAACTCATACATTGTTGATGAAACTGAAAATTAGTATAATCATTATGAAAACAAAATGGCTAGACAAATGTATGCATCTTTAAGAGTGTCCATTTAAAAACAGAATTAAAATATAATTTTTAGTGCAAAATATTTTTCTAAATCCAGTTTTTCATAATATGTATTTTTATTAACTAAAGATTTCTCACAGAGATGTAATTCTTTATAAATACATACAATTGCTATGTGTCAAACCCCCTTTTTAAAAATAAGCTAAAAAAAGAGTGCCAATGCCTGAGTAACAGTTATTTGAAATGGCGCATTACTGCTCTTTATCTTTAAAATCTATATTCTGGGTAGTATTAGTCAACATTTCCTCTTTTTAGAAGATGTTAATGTTTTAAGCTTTGCCAGATATTTACTTCTAGTAGTTTATCAATCAGTGAAGGAATAGTATTGAAAATTACTAACTTGCAAACATTATATTAAATAAAGGCAATCTGTCACCCAAGTCCACACATTCTGTCATTTGATTTACACGACTGAATGTAAAAAAAGGAGATTTGGGGTATTGTGGGCTGGAGGGAATAAAAAAGGTGAGGTGAATGCTAAAGGGCATTTTTTCTTCCTGTAGTTAGAAAAGCATCCTGAAGTGGGCTGCAGAGGCGGTTACACCAGCCCGTGATTATAACAAAGAACCCTGCATTGTAGACTTCACATCGCTAACTGTACAGCACACGAGTTACATCTTAATAAAACTATCAACAAAAGTTAACTACTTTTCTAAGATGACCTAAATTTTTAAATGGTTTAGTAGGCAAAAAATAGAAGCAAAGCATTTCTTTAAGCTAAAATCATTAATCATGTTCATTTAAATACCCCTTCTATATGAAAAGCTTATGTTATAGACAAGGGAAAATTCTGCATTAAGAGATGCCAACTAGACATACAGCACTAATTAGAAATAATTATACAAAAATACCTTGAAAGAAATAGCACAGAATTCCTCTAATCCTTTTGATGTTGCTCAATTATCTTCTTTCCCTTGCTGTATATTATGGTTTTAGTTTAATAACAAACAAATCTCTAGTAAAGATTTATCTCAATCTTTCTCTGAGTTTTACAGTTTTAGCTCTTGCACTGAGGTTCAATTTCTGTTGACTTACACGGTGGTGGGGACGTAGGGTTTTGCAGCCTAACTTTGTTCTCTCATCAAAATAGATGTAAAGTTTTCCAAGCACCATTTATTGCAAGAACTATTCTTTTTTCATTGAATTTTACCGGCATTCTCCATTAAAATGAATTAACCTTGGGCAGAGACTATTCTCATAAACAGGAAGCACATTAAAATTAAACTTCTGGGGTCAGCGCCATGGCACAGTGCGCTGGACTTCTGCCTCTGGTGCTGGAATGCCATGAAGACACCAGTTTGACTCCAGCTGCTCCATTTCTGATCCAGCTCCCTAGTAAAGCAGGCCTAGGAAAGCAACAGAGAAAATGTCCCAATCCTTGTGTGTCCCTCCCTGCACACACATGGGAGACCTGGAAGAAGCTCCTGGCTTCCGATTGGCTCAGCTCTGGCCATTGCGGCCACAGGGGGAGTGAATCATTGAATGGAAGATCTTTATCTCTCCTCTGTAAATCTGCCTTTCCACTAAAAATAAACCTTAAAAAAGAAAACACTCATGAGAAAAAATGTCCATGAACAAAAACTGTCTTTGGTTTGAGGAAACCTAGTACTGGAATCATGAAGAAAGCTACAAACTGTGCTGCCACAGAACATGTGAGCCTTGCACATCCAGGGAGAGAAAGGATCAGAAGGGGACAAAAAACACTGAAGAAATGCATAAGGCCAAGTGGAGTCACTTGTCCTAGAGCAACACAGTTAGATGTTTAGACCAGTGAATTCCAAACTGAACAAAATAAGGATTTTGTTTAACAGTCTATTCTCAGTTGATAGACTTGCAGGACATTCTGCACTTCCAACAAAACCCTAAAGATCACATTACTGCCCATATAAAAATACCACTTTCTGAGTAGCAAGGATTAGACCCCTGGTTCTAAAAATCAGACCTGAAAGTGTCTAAGACACCAGAGTAAGTTTACAGAGCTATGAGATTAGTTTTAATTTTCAAGGAATAGTAAGTATTCAGAAATACTCAATGGTTGTCAGAGACTGCAGGACTCACTAGTTCATGACACCTGACAATTTTAAGTTTAGATACCAGCACCTTCCTTTTAATGATATCTCATCTTTGAGAAGCTAGAGTTTTTGGCAGTTGCTGTGATATATGAGAGGGCTCTGAAATGTTCAAAGAAAAACGAAATGAAAACGCGCACAGTCCATGAATATCTGAAGCCATCTGAACTATCTAAGCTGACTCCATGGCCTGAGAAATTGTACAGTGGCCAGACAGTCTTACACATCAGTGACCATGGTGATTTAAGAATAAAAATGCTTTTCTATTTCAAACAGTTGCTGTGTTAGGCATTCCTTCTGGCCTAGGAGGTGCTATAAGCACAACTTCTGAGATGCTAGAGTATCTTGAGCTGAAGAGAGCATACAAGCCTCTGGTTTCTAGTCTGCCAGGCAGTTGTGACCAGCGCTTTCACATCCAAAAATAAAAGGTTCAAATGCTGCCTTGACCATTCCCAGCTGCATGACCAGGGGCAAGCCCTTTAACCTCTTGTTTTCCTCAACTATTAACATTTCTTACCTCAGAGGGTTGCTACCACACAGAAATGCTGCTATATCTAAAGTACTTAGCATTAACCTACAAATGTAACCTAAAACATACAAATAAAACCTAAAACATGTTTACTATCGTCACCACAATTATGATTTACAGAATTGATAGAAGTTTTTGATCTCACCGATGCTGGCCGCAGTTTCCAAGGCGGAAGAGAGGCCATGTAGTAGGTACAGTATTGGGACAGGGTGAGAGAGGTTTGCTTAAACCCTGACTCTCAAGTACCAGCACTTGAGACTGTTAATCTCTCCCAAGGCAGAGAAACAGAGATAAGAAACAAATCAACCCAAATTTGCTTCCCTCTAATACCACTACTATGGCATAGGTACTAAAGCCACCACAGGGCTTCAGCATCCCATATGGGAGCGGTTCTAGTCCAGGCTGCTCCACTCCCCAGCCAGCTCCCTGCTAATGGCCTGGGAAAGCAGTGGAGAACACCCTGAGCACTTGGCCCCTGCACACAGGTAGGAGACCCAGAAGCACCCCAGAAGCAGCTCTGGGCTCCTGGCCTCAAACTAGCCTGGCTCCAGGTCTTGCAGCTATTTGGCGAATCAACCAGTGGATGGAAAATGTGCTTGTCTCTCACACTATATAGATCTTGCAAATAAAAATCTTGGGGCCAGTTCTATGACACAGTGAGTTTAGCTGTTGCCTGCAGGACCAGCATCCCAAATGGCCCCTGGTTCAAGCTGCAGCTGCTTTTGATCCAACTATGTGCTAAAACACCTTGAGAAAGCAGAAGATGGCCAGTGTGGACATTGCGGAGTGAACCAATGGATGGGTGGTGAACCAATGGATTGAAGATGTCTCTCTGTATCTCTGCCTTTCATATAAATAATGTTTAAAAAAAATCTTTAAAATTTGTTTCCCCTTTATAACTGTAACCACTTTCCAAAACCACTTCATTTGTAAATGAATTTTGTTATTGTAATATTTAAAAATTTTTTCAATGTACATAAACCTTCTAATGTTAAAAATCTGAATGCAAAATCTAATGACTTAAGGTGTGCACATTAAGGGTCCTCCTGTCCGACTCATTACCAAATCGAAGCATGTCAGCAAATGAGCACAAGACTGTAACACTGCTCCTCAGGAGTCTGCAGGAGGGCAAAGCACACAGATCAGAAAGAACATTCTGCTAATTAAACTGAAGCAGATGAGTACAAAAAAGCAGGGCTCATCACACATAACATCTGTGCCAAGAATGATCAGATTAAATATGCAGAACGTGAAGTAAAGGTGTGAAAGAGCAGTACGATGATACTCCAGACCTCAAATAGGCTGCACAAGTTCTGACAGTTGTCCTAATTATCCCCCGCTAATGGACGCAGGAGGCCAAAAGGCAGGAGGGAGAAATACAATTTTCTCCATTATGGGTGTTGAACACTAGGCTAAAATCATGCCTGTCTGAACACTGATCAGTTTCCGCAAAGGTTAATAGCAATTAAATGCAGCAAACTAGATGAAATGAGAAACAGGTCATGATACCACTGCACTTGCAAAGAGCACCATGCAGCACTTCTTTCAAATTCATCTGAATGTACGGGAAATCCAAAAAGAGCTCCTTGAAGAAGAGAACCTAGTTTCCCAAAAAGGTGCTCTGAAGGAATCATTCTACTTACTAAATGGCAAAGAAATCTCTTAAATGAAATTCAAAACTAGTAACAGGATACACAAACTAATTCAATTTTCACTAGTATTACTCTTTAGTATTATAATGCTTCCAATGTACATAAACACCAAAAATGCCTAAGAGTCTTCCTCCAAGAATGAAAACCACTATACATTTTCTCATTTTTCTGGTTTAAAGATGATAAAGGATCTGCCTTAAGGTTTTAATGTGGGATAGAAATGCTAAAATGAAGACACACCGAGCATCCTATTCCATTAACACTGTTTCTTCCAGCTTCCTACAAAGACTGTAGCAAGCTACAAAGTGATGACTAAGAGTGACTATCTGACCCATACCAAAATCACTCTCTGAACTTAATCTTTTTCTTTACTATGTAAATTCTAGTGTGAAAGTCTGAAATTCTTTGTGTTGCCCAAAAAAATCACAAGCACATAACAGCACACTCTCTTCCTGCATGCACACAGACATATATCCATCCTTAACTCTCCACGCAACAAAAAAAATCAAAGTGACATGCTCAGACAGTGAGAACTGAATTTACTCTGCTATCCTCGGGGTCTTCTAAACCATCAGGCCGACTCAGGTTTCGAGCAGGCTGGCTACAGACCACACTGTCCTCCAGGCCCCACGCGGGGACTCTCACAGGTGGCCTCTGGATTTCCTCTGGATAGAAAGCACCATCTGCTCCATCTGCAGTAAGAATTTCAGAGGGTAGAGGAAAGCAGCTATTAAAAGTAGCCTAATATGATGAAAGTTAAAAATAATTATTCTGGCATAGCAAAATATGCATGTTTTACTTTTAATCTATGAAAATAAAATTTAATAAACTAATAAACTACTCTTTCACGATACATCACCTCTAGAAGTGGCTGGTAATCATCTTAAACATTAAAATTGTCAAATATTCAAGTAAGACAATATTTTTGAGTCCTGGAAGTTCTATAATCTCAGTAATATATGTGCAAAAAACTCTCCACATTTCAGTTGCCCACAAAAGAAAAGTACTGTAGTAACCTCTTATTTCTTGGGTGCTGTAAGGGTTACCATACTGCAGAACTGGCTGTGCACTGGACAGTGCAGGAACATGACCATTTTGTTCTGAGGATGTGGGGAGACACTGTGAAACCCGCGCAGAACTCTGAGAATTCTGACCTTCCATTTTCCTTTCTGTTTTATTGTCCAGCTTCCTTTTAAATTCCTAAAATTAACAAAAATAAATAGGCAAAGCATCGAATATGAGAAGGGTAGATTTAATACATAGGTACAACACAACCTCTTCCTCATTTGCTACCCTACAATAACTATGTCAATGGCACAGGCTTGTGGTAATAAAACTTTACAAAAACAGTCTACAAGGAGCCAGCACCATGGCATAGTTCAGGCCTCCACCCTGCAGGGCCAGCATCTTGTATTGGCATCAGTTCAAGTCCCAGATACTCCATTTCAGATCTATCTCCCTGCTAATGCACCTGGGAAAGTAGTGAACGACACCCAAGTCACTGGGCCCTTGTCCTCGTGGCAGACGAGGAGGAAGCTCCAGGCTTTGGAGCCCAGCTGGGGAGTTGCAGCAGATGAAGATCCCGGCCTCCTCCTCCGCCTGTGAAATTATCTTACAAATAAAAATATATGTAAAACAACCCACAAGGCACAGTTTGCTCAAACCGTAATTTTGGCCTAGCCCAGAGCTCAGCCATCTGGGGAGTCAATCAGCTAATGGAAGATGTCTCTGCCTCATTCCAAATAAATATATAAATCTTTTTAAAAGGAAAAATGACACTCCTACCTTAGAATAGCTCTTAATTTCACTAGTCATAGTGAAATTTCAGGGAGAAAAATCAAGAAATGCTCAAAGCACAATTCTGATGGTTGCTTTTTCACTTTTTTCATTACTTCATTTTAGTAAATGGTGTTTCTTTAAAAACAATCATTTTTTTATTTATAAATTTTAGTTTTTATAATGATTACATGGTTGATCAGGGTGGGAAGGATCAAGGTTTAGGGAAAATTGGGTTTTGCTTTCACATTTGCTATTTCTTCTTGTTGTTCCTGGTGAAAGGGAGGAGACAAAGGGGGTAAAAGGCAGAGTAAAAAAGATAAAGATGTTCCACGCAGTGGTTCAGTTCCCAAGTGCTGCAAGATTCAAGACCTGGACCAGGCTGTTGCGTGTTTAGTAAAAGCACAGAACAGGGGAAGCAAATAATCATCAGTAATCTCGACATTTGTATGAGCTTACGTTAGGGTCTGCCATTTCTTGACCAAGTAACACACTTGTCACAAGAAAAATCCATGCTGCAGAACTTAGTGCTGCCCTGAACACCCTCCATAATGACCTTGAATCTTCTAAATACAACTTCATCATCCCGCAGGCCAACAAGACTCACAGGTGTTGTACATCTTACCAATCTTAGTAAATGAATAAGCCTCTTGAATCTTGGCTCCCTTTCTACTACCATTTTTATTGTCATTGTTCATGCCAACCACCTTGGTGGTGTTCTCAGAGAGCCAAAAGAAAATTACATGTTTTAAAAATGCTCATTTTTAGTTACTGATTAAAACTAATGCCTAATGGTCACACGCTACATTCAGTGAACTGTCGTTGTATCTAGGTTTCAGAACTGAACCAAAGGTCCTAATCCTAATCTTGTGGATGACTGGGATGGGCGTCTTGGTTCATGACAGAACAGAAAAACAGTAAGAGACAAGATAGCAAAAAACAAAGGCAAAAAAAAAAAATCACAAATATTATGAGTCAAAATGATATGAAACTAGGCTCACATCATGGAAAATCAAGATTAATTAAAAAGGACAGGGAGTAAAGAGCAACTAGCTTACACTGCATTCCTGACATGGCAAGAAATATTAAATAACAAAACTGCTGACCCAGTATATTTCTTTTACCAAATGTTTTTATAAGCAAACACTATAAAATTGTATGCCTCATTAATTTGTTTATTTAGCCCACAAATATTTTTATTTATTTATTTCCATTTTATTTGAAAAGTCTCAGGAGGAGATGGAAAATTTTTAAGCTGCTTGTTCATTCACCAAATAGCTATGTAGGCCAAGTTGAAGCCAGGAGTTTCATCTAGGTCTCCTAGGTGGAGGCAGGGGACAAGGACTTGGGCCCTCACCCAATGCTTTTCCAGAGAGCTTGCTAGAATTTGAGCAGCCACTGCAGGAGGACAGCACTTTAACCCATGCACCGCAACATCAATCCCACGCCCTTTTTTCTTCACTGGACTTGCACGGTGGTGCTTAGCACAATTACTACTAATGCAACTGGTGCTACTGGCCTTACTCCACGTCACACAAGCAATACCCTACCAAGGTTTTTAAACCTGTAACACAAATTCAACACAGTGGGGGACAACACAGCAGTATCATTGTGAAAGCATGTTTATCTTTGCAGAATGTTGACAGGAGACTACAGAATCCACATTTTGAGAAATGCTGCACTACAGCATCTTTTACATTTGAATGTATAGCTCTGAAAGTCAGATGATGCTATAAGTCACTTCATCACTGCAAAAAAATCCCCTTTTACAAAAGAAAACTAGATAAACACATTATACGCAACCTTAAAGTATTAAAAACTGTAAAATGTTCATTGCTAAATACAAAACATGCAACACTGAACTTTCAATACTGTGTCATCATTCTCATACTCCAAAGAGTTTAATAAGAGTAAACAAAACCACTTTTACACAGCAGTCTTAACATCTGCTTGTCATTTCTTAAAGACTTCTTCCAAATGAATTATCAAGTTCATTAAGTTCCATTAACATTCATGTCACTTTATTTTTAAGCAAATTATTCAATACCTTTTCTCTGGAGAAGTTTTCCAAATACGAAGTCAGAGTATTTATTTCCTTATCTTTCTCAGCCAACTGCAGCTTAATGAAGAAAAAAAAAATCATGAATATTTTCATTATTTACTCATTTTTTTTATCCTAAGGAAAAAGTCTTTGAAATCTTTCTTTTCTGAGTCAATGTCCTATCTATTGGTAGGTGATAAAGGAAGGCACTCACATAAAGACGGCCTTTACCGAGTCAGTCCTAGAGTATCTGTCAGCTATTCTTGCGTTCAAACCCTTCCCACCCATGAATCCTAATGATTTTCATGAAACACTGATTGCATATGAAGAAAAAAGAAAAAAAAGCAGAGATACTGTTTATACTGATTCTATGGGGGTGATTTGTTGCAGTCTCTTCCATGTTGGTTACACAAGCAACCTGACCTTTCACAGTAAAAATGTGAGTGCATTTCACTTATGTTAATAAAAGAAATAAAGATTTTTTTTTTTATCCTAAGGAAAAGGTCTTTGAAATCTTTCTTTTCTGAGTCAATGTCCTATCTATTGGTAGGTGATAAGGGAAGGCACTCATAGAGACGGCCTTTACCAAGTCAGTCCTAGAGTATCTGTCAGCTGTTCTTGCGTTCAAACCCTTCCCACCCATGAATCCTAATGATTTTCAAAAGAAATACTACTTGGGTTCCCCTTCCTCTTAACAAGCTCAGAATAACGAAAACCCAAATTTCATTTAAGTCATTCACTATCTGTTTTATCAATCAAGTCCAATATACTCTATCATAGATATTAAACTTTTATTCCTCAAGCCTGTTTACACTACCCTTACTATGCTCTAAAAAAATTTTAAAGATTTATTTGTCTGGAATGCAAAGTTGGGGGGCAGGGAGGGACAGTGGAAACAGATCTTCCATTCACTGGATCACTCCTCAAATGCCCAAGGTGATCCAGAAGCCAAGTGCTTCATCCAGGACTCCTACACGGGTACAGAAGCCAAAGCACCTGAGCCATACTCCACTGTTTCCCCAGGCACGTTAGCAGGGAGGTGGATCAAAAGTGGGAAAACCAGGACCCAAAAAGACACCCATTTGGGATTCCAGTATTGCAGGTAGTGGCAAAACGCGTTATACTACAATGCCAGCTTCTCCTACATTCTTAGAATCTCACTTGTCCCTTTTCTGAGCTTTGTTTCTGCTGTCCTTAAATTAGGTTTCTCAAAGGTCTAGGCTTTAGTTAATGCCTTCCTACCAAACATTCTATTACAAACAACCTTAAGGTACTTGAACTTGTCTACACAGAGCTTTATCATTTTCTGGATGTTTCTGGTGTTAGTTTTAGTTGTGTCAAAACAGGAAGAAGGAAAATTTTTAAAAAATAAGCACTTTTACCAAGTACATACTCGTAAGCATGCTTAAGGCTCAATGTTCACTTTTATTATCAGTGAAATAAAAGTATCATCTATTTAGCTCCTCACAGGTTTGACTCATAAGTAACTGAGTGGCAAATGTGAAAATTCTATGAATATTACTATGATGTCTTTAGCAATCCTTAATAGATTATATACTCATGAAATGTAACACTATACCTCAGAACATTACCCATGTAACAGATAACATGGCATTTTATGCATTATAGCCTTCACAAAACATTTTTTTTAATCACAAAGTCATATATACAGAGGAGGAGACAGAAAGATCTTCCGTCCGATGATTCACTCCCGAAGTGACCTCAACGGCCGTGCTCCACTGCTTTCCCAAGGCACAATTAGGGAGCTAGATGGGAAGTGGAGCTGCTGGAATTAGAACCGGTGCCCATATGGGATCCCGGTGCATTCAAGGCAAGAACTTTAGCCGCTAGGCCACCACGCTGGGCCCTCAACAAACATTTAATAAATCATTTTTCTAGTCATTATCCCCAAAATTTTCTATACTCATTATTGATATTTTACGTAAGGAAAATTGCCAACCATTAAAAACATTCATGGAGGATCCAAAAAATTAGCTAATAAAAATTCTTTCTGGACCAGCACTGTGGTCTAGCAGCTAAACTCCTTTCCTTGAACGTGCAAAGATCCCATATGGGCGCCAGTTCTAATCCCAGCAGCCCTGCTTCCCATCCAGCTCCCTGCTTGTGGCCTGGGAAAGCAGTGGAGGACGGCCCAAAGCCTTGGGCCCTGTACCCGGATGGGAGACCTGGGGCAAGTTCCAGGGTCATGGCTTCAGATCAGCTTGGCTCTGGCCATTGCAGCTGCTTGGGGACTGATCAGCAGATGGAAGATCGTCTCTCCTCCTTTCTGTGTATCTGGCTTCCCAGTAAAAATAGATAATTCTTAGAAAAAAAAATAAAAGCCAAAACTGTAAAATAACTTTACCTACATACTCATGTTTAACAAAAACATAAATTGACTGTTTTATAACATAGTTTGGAATCATAGCCTCAACTTCAATCTGCAGTTCTGGCATGCCTTATGGGCATGGTTCGTGTCCTGGCTGTTCCACTTCTGATCCAGCTCCCTGTTTATGGCCTAGAGATGGCTCAAGTCCTCAGGCCCCTGAGCTTATGTGGGTAACCAGGAGACTCCTAACTCTTAGCTTCAGATTGGCTTACCTGTAGCCTTTGGGGAGGAACCAGTAGATGGAAGCTCTCTCTTCATCTCTTTCTCTCTGTAACACTGGGTACTTTTATTTCTTTCAAATAAAAATAAATAGAGGCTGGGGCAGTGGCATGGGTGCCAGATTGTATCCTGGCTAGTTCTAATCTGGCTCCCTCCATGGGGCCTGTAAAGCAGTAGAGGATGGGTCAGGTCCTCGGGCCACTGTACTGATGTGGGAGGCCCGGAAGAAGCTTCAGATCAGCTCAGCTCCTGCCACTGCAGCCATTTGCAGAGTAAACCAGTGGATAGAAGACCTCTCTTTCTCCATCCCTTCTCCCTCTGTAAGATCTTTTAAATAAAAACAACTATTCAAAAATAAATCAATAAATATTTTTTAAAAATAAACAAAATTAGAAAAATTTGAATCGACATGGCACTCTGCAGAACTAAAGCCACAAGAGTTCAATCTTCAGCTTATATTTTCAGAACATAATAAAAATAAAATACACAGTAAACTAAGTACCAGGCACAGTACTATATTTCAAGTTTATACAAGCTGTGAACTTACTTCATAATTGTCCTTCACTTCAGCCAGTTCAACTTTTACACTTTCAGCAATTTTTACTTGTTCTTTCCATTTCAGCTCCATTTTCGCAAGTTCATCAGCATACTTACTGCATTTTGTTTTCTCATCCTACATGAAATTAGTACAAATATGATAATATTTTAAATCCATACAGGGTAAATATCCACACAAAAGTACTTAGGGATGTGCTACACTACACTACAGCAGTTATCGCAACATAAAAACAGAAAAAACCAGATGTCTCCACTAGAAGACTGCATAGCCACACACCACAATAGTGTGTACCTTTCTAAAAACCTTGACCTGGAAACACATTATAATAAGGAAAAACTGTCAGGATTCATTAACGGAAAAATCAAGCTGGACTATGAAAAATATAATATAACACCATTTTCATTTGTGAATTATTTTACACAATTACACGTTTTTTTGTGTCTGTGTATTCTAGAAAAATATAATCCATAATAGTAGTAGCCCTCATATCTGGAAATTGGTATCATCAAGGTGCCTTCTAACATCTCTATTCTTTATTCCTATAACACCATAACCTTTTACTTTAAGTATATATAACTTTTGCAAAAAGCAGAAATAAAAATCAGCCATTTATAATGCTGCAGTTTCCAGGCACTGATAAACACAACTCCAGACATTCTTGATGAAAGCAACTTCAAGGCTTACTTGTAATACATTTCTCTTTGAATCAAGGTATCGCAAAGAGTTAGAAATCTTGACAAAGGCCTGAAACAGTGGCCTGGACTCGCCTTACATGCTCTGGGATCCCATATGGGCACTGGATCTAACCCTGGCAGCCCCACTTCCCATCCAGCTCCCTGCCTGTGGCCTGGGAAAGCAGTCGAGGACAGCACAAAGCCTTGGGACCCTGCACCTGTGTGGGAGACCTGGAGGAAGTTCCTGGCTCCTGGCTTCGGAACAGCACAGCACCAGCCGTTGGGGTCACTTGGGGAGTGAATCATCAGATGGAAGACCTTCCTCTCTGTCTTTCCTCCTCTCTGTATATCTGACTTTGTAATAAAAATAAACAAAAAAACAAAACAAAAAAACTTGACAAAAAGGTAAAAGGGCAACTTTATAGGTATGCTCTGAGCAAGTGGAGAAAAACTATATAAGACTAGAATAACTGAATACCCATGGCATAGATTCCATATTTCATACAATACACAAAAATTAACTAAAAAATGGTTCATAGAGCTCAATGAAAAACCTGATTACAAAACTTCTTCAAAACAATGTAAAAGAAAAATGTTATCATCCTAGATCAGGTAACAAAAATAAAATAAAATAATAAATTTATACACTGTACTTTATCAAGTTTAAACTTTTACTTTTCTAAAAATGCCTTTAAGGAAAAAAGGCAGTAAGCCACAGATTTGGAGAAAATATTCATCACATACATATAAAGCAAAAGACTTGCATCCTCAATTGTCTTTACAAAAGACTCACCACTCAATTTTCACATTTTGTAACAAAAACCAGTTTTTGAAGGGTTGAAACATCTTATGGCTAATAATGGTTTCACAACTACAGGTAAACTCAGCCTCTTTGAATACTGCAAACAAACTTTTTGCTGTATGGCCATGATCACATTAAGAGGAATAAACCTGTCTGATCTCCAGGTTAGATCATTAGAGAATGCTATACTCGATATAGGTCCTTCTCAAGGTTTGGTAGTCCTGTTGCCTTAAAATCTGGGGAACTGGGCTCCACATAGTAGCCTAGTAGCTTAAGACCTCACCTTGCATGTGCCAAGATCCCTTACAGGCGCAGTTCTAATCCTAGCTGCTTCACTTCTAATTCAGCTCCTTGACTGGGGCCTGGAAAAGCAGTAGAGGGCAGCCCAAAGCCATGGGACCCTGCACCTGCATGGGAGACCCAAGGAGGCTCCTGATTCGTGGCTTCAGATTGGCTCAGCTCCAGCCGTTACAGCTACTTGGGGAGTGAACCAACGGACGAAAGACCTTGTCTCTCCTCTCTGAGAAAATCTGCCTTTCATTGAAAATAGATAAGTTTTAAAAAGTGGAACTGTGGGGCCAGCAATGTGGCACAGTAGGTAAAACCATCCCGTCATACCAGTATCCCATATTGGTACCTACTACTCCCATAACTTTATTGGAAACAGTGAAGCAGCGGAAGGTCCTTCAAGTCAGAGTCGCTGCACTCACATGGGAGACCTGGAGGAGGTTCCTGGCTTCAACCTGGCACAGCCATAACTGTTTAGTCACCGGGGAATAAACTGGCAGATGGAAGTGCTCTCCTCTTCCATGTGACTGTGTATATTCTCTATCTCTAGCTGTGCCTTTCATTTTTGTTGATGATGGTGGTGGTGGTTTTTTTTTTTCCCTAAGATCTACTTATTTTTATTTGAAAGGCAGACCTACAGAAAGAAAAAGTAACAAAGATTTTCCATCTGCTGACACACTCCTCAAATGGCCACAATGGTCAAAGCTGAGCCAAACTGAAGGAAGGAGACAGGAGCTTTTTCCAGGACTCCCGTATAGGTACAGAGTCCCCAGAGTTTGGGCCATCCTGTACTGCTTTTCCAGGCCATGAGTAGGGAATTTGGATTGTGAGAATAGAGCAGCCAGGACATGAACCAGCACCCATATGGGATGCCACAATGGCTTCCAGTTGTGCCATTCAAATCAATAATATATACATTTGGGCCCGGCGAGGTGGCACAAGTGGTTAAGGTCCTCGCCTTGCACACCCGGGATCCCATATGGGCGCCGGTTCTATCCCAGCAGCCCTGCTTCCCCTCCAGCTCCCTGCTTGTGGCCTAGGAAAGCAGTGGATGATGGCCCAAAGCTTTGGGACCCTGCACCCGCGTGGGAGACCCGGAAGAGGCTCCTGGCTTCGGATCGGCATAGTATCGGCCTTTGCGCTCACTTGGGGAGTGAATTAGAAGATCTTCTTGTCTCTCCTCTCTGTATATCTGCCTTTCCAATAAAAAAAATAATAAAAATAAATCTTTAAAAAAATAAGAATATATACATTTTATAAAACAACAGAGGTGGGAGGGAAGCCAGCATTTTGGCACAGCAGGCTACTCCCTCATCCCTGCAGCACTGGCCTCCCATATTAGCACTAGTTCAGTCCCAGCTGCTCCACTTCTGATACTGATCTCTTTATGGCCTGGGAAAGCAGTCGAGGAGAGCCCAAGGCCTTGGAACCCTGCACCCATGTGGGAGATGCAGAAGAAGCTCCTGGCTCCCAGCTTCAAACTGGCTCAGCTCTGACTTTGCAGCCATTGGGAAAATAAATCAACAGATGGGAAGACCTTCTCTCTATCTCTACTTCTCTCTGTAAAATTTGCCTTTCAAATAAAAATAAACAAAACTGTAAATAAAAGCAAAAAAACCCAGGGAATCTTTACTCTGCCAAGGCCCATTTAGATGTTTATAACATAACTTGAGGGTCATATGAATGATCAACTTACAAATCAGTTTGCTATGTGTAAGTACTGTGGCAATCCTGGCATACCATAGGAGTGCCAGTTTGAGTCCCACCTAGCTCCATGCCAATGTACCTGAGAAATAGCAGGGGCCCCTGCCACCCACTGGGGAAAACTGGGTGGAGCTCTGGGATCCTGGCTCTGGCATGGCCTAGCTCCAGCCAACTGCTGCCATTTGGGGAGTAAAGCAGCAACAGGTAGGTATTACTGCTCTGTGTTCCCCTCTCTAACTCTGCCTTTCAAACTATATAGATCATTACCCACAGGCCCTACATTTCCTATCCCATTATCAAAGCAGATCCTTTAATAGTTCTCATGGTTTGCTCATGTCTGAAAGGTCAGCTGTGGTAGCATGGGACATGTAACTGGTAAGCAACCACCACCTGATTTTCCACCTTTGTAATAGTTAATCACCTTCAGTCTAGTTTCCAGGTCAATCACTAAGGCCATGCTGAACAAGTTAGTGTTAGATTAAATCAACAAGGGGAAGGTAGAAATCAAGAGAATGCACATTACAAGATGCATAAGGCTGCTACTGATATAATGGGGCACGCTGTTCTAAAGCAAACTTCCTGTTGCTAAGTGAAAGGAACAATGTTTCTTTTATTTTTATAAAAAGCACAGTATAGTAATAATACAAAGCAGTATTACAACTGTTATTATGTATCGTATACACAGGGTACTCAAAAAATGGACAGGAAACAGAATTAGAAGGTATATATTGGCACAAAAAATTGTGACACTTAAGCAGATTTATTTGCTAATACATATTTTTCCCTAAATTTCTCAAGACCATTCATAACTGTGTCACACTTTTATTTGGCAGCAAAGGTCTAGATACACCAGACTCACGGCAAACGCCTGTGTAACACAAAGGTCTAGATGCACCAGACTCACGGCAAACGCCTGCGTAACAAATGCCCTCTGCTGCGACATCACTAGGCCATGTTTCGGCTCCTTCACAGCCTTAGGGAAGGGTCATGTGTACAGGCAGTCCATTCTTGACTAGACTATCCTTACACAGCACATGACTGCAATCCTGAGTCTCAGAAAAATCCTCAAGCAACCAGTTCAGTTCAATGTTTCACTAAGATTTCATTATATGTATAAAAACATTTTAAGTCAATTACTACAGCAAAATTGAGCTAACCTGTGAATTGTTGCTCTGAACTGTACCCTCTTCATAAATACAGCAAAATGCCCATTAAGTAAACAATAAATACACAAATGTAAGACATTTCTTCTTAACTTTCCTTTCTACTCCCAAACAGGTATAAAAGCATTGTTCCTTGTCCCTTAGATTCCAGGAAAGTACACAATGCTGCAAAATGAAGTGTGAATGATCATACTTAACATAATCAAAACAAGAAAAATCTCATTTAATTAACATGTCCTTTTTTAAATGTGCAAATAGGGACCCGGCACAGTGGCCTAGCGGCTAAAACTCCTCGCTTTGTACACGCTGGGATCCCATATGAATGTGCCCATTCTGATCCTGGCCATAACGCTTCCCTTCCTGCTCCCTGCTTGTGGCCTGGGAAAGCAGTGCAGGACGGCCCAAGGCCCTGGGACCATGCATCCTCAGGGGGAAACCTGGAGGTGGCTCTGGGCTCCTAGCTTTGGACTGGCTCAGCTCCGGCCACTTGGGGAGTGAATCAGTGGGCAGAAGATCTTCCTGTCTCTCCTCTCTGTACAGCTGACTTTCCAATAAAAATAAATAAGTCTTTCTTTTTTAATGTGCAAATACAGCACTTTAAAGCTGTAGTAACATTATTTGCTATTACTACAACAAATTTAAAGAGTACTTCCTTTTATAAAGATCATTTTCCACATGTCTGAATGTATTACTTGCCCATTACCCTAATGTGAACATTATATCACATCAACTGAAAATAATGACTTCAGGATTGTGATTTTATGTATAGCCCTTTATCAACAGGGACACAAAAATCCTCAACATTCCCCAAATCATAAATAACAGAGTATGAGGATGAATATAAAAAATTAACCACCCCCCCAAAAAAAATTTAACCCAGTATACAAACACTTAAAATAGTAAAGGTAAAGCCAGCCACTTATATTTGGTAAACTTTTCATGTTAAGAGCTAACTCACCTGCAAGAGTTGTTTACATTTATTGTATTTTTCTGTTTTGTCAGCAATTTCTTTGTTCATTTCACAGACTTGTCCCTTGGTCAGCACATCAAAATCTGCCTCTGTTGTAACAAAGCAGAAAATAAAAATGTTAAAAGTATTTTACTACTTCTCTTTCCTTCCAAAATAATTTATGGGTAAGTAACAAATACTGATAGAAAGAAATTTATTCATACTAAAATATAAACTAAAAAATTTTAAATGTCAGTTTGATCAAAGACAAGTTCATATTCAATAGTTCTTATATAATTGGATATGGAAAGGAAAAAAGCAACACTCCAAAACCACATTTTAAAATCATTCCTCTAAGTTCTTTACTGCCACTCACTAAACAGTCTACAAAGGTACAGAGTAGAATATTTATATTTTAAAGATTAAAACATTGGGACCACACTGGCCTAATGGGTTAAGCTACCACCTGCAGGACCAGCATCCCATGTATGTCTGCTTTGAGTCCTAGACACTCCCACTCCAGCAAAGGCATCTGGGAAGGCAGCAGGGCACGGCCCAGGTGCTTGGGCCCTGTACCCACCTGGGTGATGCGGAGGAAGATCTGGGCTCGTGACTTGGGCTTGGCACAGCCCTGGCCGGTATGCCCGTAGGCTTTAAAATTCCGTAATAGTACAAGGAATTTAAAATACAAATTCAAGTTTTCATCTGTCCTATATGTTGTCCAAGGAGGATTTTTAAAGCACCAACTAATTTTTTTTAACAGAGCATTTGTATGAAATAGTTTACTGTTTATTTTAACACAGGACATCATCTTACATTTACCCTTACTGTTCCTTCACTGATAACACAGTATTTCATACTTACACGTGGAAGGCAGCAACACACAGGGCTCTTCAAAGCAAGACACCCTTTACAAGCAGTCTACCAGGTTTTTACCTGCAGCTAGGGCTGGGTTTACGTCTGCAGTGGCAGCAGCACTGGCTGTCTCAGTGTTGATGGAAGCATCGTTCACTTTCTGCTGATTGCCCATTTTCTTTGTGAAGCTATTATTATTATTGGCCTATTAAAAATGTTAACAAAAAATTGTTAAATGGGTTATTGGTTGCATCATATTACCTTTCTTCAGTGACTATATAACAGAACTGTGGAACCACTCAAATTTTAAGTATGTTTCTTCTATACTTCCAGCATTATGTCACATGGCAAACTTTATGCTCAAATAAATATAGTCTAAGAACCCAAATTTAAAAAAACACACTTCAGGCCTGGTGGCATAGCCTAGTGGCTGAAGTTCTCACCTTGCATATGCCCAGATCGCATATGGAAACCAGTTCACACAGAGACTACTATACTTCCCATCCAGCTCCGTGCTTGGGGCCTGGACAGGATAAAGCCTTGGGATCCTGCACTCATGTGGGAAACCCAGAAGAAGCTCCTGGCTATGGATCAGCTCAGCTCTGGCCACTGTGGAAACTTGAAGAGTGAACCACCAGGCAGAAGATCTGTCTGTTTCTCCTCTCTGTAAATCTGCCTTTCCAATGAGAATTAATAAATCTTTCTAAACACACACACTTCATTTCTAGGACTTGGTCACATGGAAAGCCTTGTACTCAAATATCAGTTTAAGAACCCACATTAAAACACACACTTTGGGCCTAGTGTGGTAGCTTAGTGGCTAAAGTTCGTGCCTTGCATGTCCCAGGATATATGGACACCAGTCCACATACTGACTGCTCCACATCCCACCCAGCTCCCTGCAAGAATGGGACAAAACCTTGGGACCTTGCACCCACGTGCTTTGGATCAGCTCAGCTGTGGCCACTGTGGCCACGTGGGGAGCAAACCACCAGATCTTCGTCTCTCCTCCCTATAAAACTGCCTTTCTAATAAAATAAATCTTTAAAAACACACACAAAAACAAAAACATTCTGCTTTACTGAATATATCACTACTTGTTCCCAAAGAGAATACTTTAAAAAGGGGGGCCCGACACAACAGCCTAGCAGTTAGTCTTCGCCTTCCATGAGCCAGGATCCATGCATATGGGCGCAGGTTCTAATCCCAGCTGCTCTGCTTCCCATTCAGTTCCCTGCCTGTGGCCTGGGAAAGCAGTCAAGGACGGCCCAAAGCCTTGGGCCCTGCACCCGCATGGGAGACCTGGAGGAAGCTCCAGCCTCCTGGCTTTGGATTGGCTCAGCTCCAGCAATTGAAGCGGCTTGGGAGTGAACCATTAGACAAAAGATCTTCCTCTCTGTCTCTCCTCCTCTCTGTATATCTGACTTTCCAATAAAAATAAATAAATCTTAAAAAAAACAAGGGGTAACACTCTTACTACTTTGTCAACATGGAAGAACTTAAGCAATGACAGCTGAGAAGTCATCTGAGACCCCAGAAGATGATCAACAGCGAATTCCAATAAAGACAGGCTGCACTGTCTCAATAGAGACGCAATAATATGAACTGGGTTTCAAGCAACAAAGATATCCACGAACTAAGCAGGACATATTCTAGAAGAATGTGCTCTCCTGTTTTGCCGTTACCCTGGTTGCTTTAGTTGGTTCTCCAGAAAATTAGAATTTCATATTTTAAGAGTTACCATTAGAATACATAGAGTGGTAACTTAAAATCTGTAAAAGATGAGTTAAACTAAATGGCTGATGTTCAGAAAATTACAAATTTAATTTGCAAACAAAAACAGATAAAGAAGATACTTTACTATGGATGAATCAAATACTTACTGATTGGTCTGAAAGTTTGTTTATTTGTTTTTGAAGCCTCTGACATTCCTTAAATTTTTCTTTGTAATGATCTGCAGCCATTTGGAGACGAAGTTTCAGATCTTCAACTTCTCTTCTCAGTTCATGTTCCACTGTGTCACTCTTTTCCTAGGAAGTAAACACACATTTCCCTTAAGAAAGGTAACAGTAAATCTCAACTTTACTTTCCATTTTTTTCTTTCTGAGTCTTAATTTCTGTTTGTTGGATTTTGGCTACAGAGTCATATTAGCTCATGCAATAAATTCAGTTTTCTGTCTTAGGACTAGATTCAATTTACAGTTAGAGAAAAAAAAAAACCCACCTACTGAGGAGCAATTACTTCTCATAGCATTTTATGAAGTTGCTACTCAAGTCCACACAAAACACAACACCAAACTACTTTAACAGAGCAGCTTCTACTCAGCACTACAAATTAGTTATGGAAGTTTTCTTAAACATACATTTCAACCTAAGAGGTTAAAATGACTAGAATGAATGAAAACCTAAAATTTTCTAATAAAATATCTGACTTAGTTTAATTCATTCTTTTGTGTTAATGGTTTTTCTATCAACAAGGAAATTCAAAAATTTTTTTCAAAACTAATTTGTTTTACCTGATCTTTTTTAACTGCGTTCAGTTTAAGTTCTGCCATTGCATCAGCTAAGCGCTGTTTCACTTTCTCATTCTCCAAGCGTGCAGTATGTAGATCTGCTATGGTTTTATCTCGCACATTCACAGCATCACTAAGTTCTTTAGCCAAAAAGGCAACCTCCTGTCGAGTTGCTTGAGCCTGTTCTTCTGCTTTACGAAGTTGCTCTTTTAAGAGAAATGTATCTTCCTGAAGGCAAATAAATGTATTTGTAAATCAGCCATTCAAATAAAAGCAGAAACACACACTTTTTACACATATTAAATCAGACCCATCTCTGCATGACTTCAATGACACATGTCTAGAAAGCCGAAGCTCCAACCTCACTCCAGATTCTTCCTGCAAACAACCCTGCCCAGTGTCCTGGCTACTACTCTGTACGTCAGAAACTCAAGTGTGTCAGGAACTGAAGCCCTGACTAATGGTGAGACCCACAGGAAAACTCCTGTTCCCCAAGATCTCTCCAACTTCAACTACTTCATTTTTATGATTACCAACAACAATTTCAAAAACTTCTTTGTAACACCAAAAAGTTTAATTAAAACCCATCTCCTACTTTCTAATCCAGCAGACATCAATATAAACCTACCATTTCATATCATTAATGAACACACAAAATAGGTTTACAATCTAGTTTTTTAAAGTTATACAAATAATGCTGATAAATTACCAAATATTTCAAGAATTAAAACTATCAGATATGAAATTGTTATTAATGAAATATTATAAATACAACAAATCTGATTTTTAAATCTCTACTAAAATATCATAAATATCAAGGGGAAAAATGCAAACCAATGTTGTTTTTTAAATCGTAAGTTCCTTAAAATGATACACAAATAATTACTTGCAAAGTATTTGTAGAGGCAACACTAATACATACTTTCAATTTCCATAAGAGAAAAAAAACCTAATGAAAATTTGTCAACTATTCACAAATAAGTAATAATATTCTGATCTAAACAACTTTTCTAATTAATAGGGGGAAAACCCAAATAAAAATTGATAAAAGCATCAACACAAAAATTTAACATAAGTGGATACAATGCATTAAAAAACTCATAATAAGCAAGTAAGTTACACTGAATACCACTAAGCATGGCAGGGCCATGACACTAACCAACACTCAAGAAAACCAGGTCCGGGGGTAAATTCTGTTGGGGATGTGTGGGCCCAACCCTGTGGAAATACATGTCCCACTAGTTAACTCAAGGGTTGGGGTGGTGAGCTAGCTATCACTCACAGGTACAGGGAACGACAACGTTCTGGGCAGAGCCAGGCTGCAACACCCGCATGTGTATTCTAAAACAGGGTGAAGGGTGGGCCAGGCTACAATGTTCACCTGCTCATACGATGCCAAGATAGAAGGGCAGACTATGCCGGGCACTGGCCTAACACCCACTGGCATCTATGAGATCTGGGTCTGGGAGTAGCCCAAGTGAGGGAACTTGGGAAATTCCCCTAATGGGTCATAACTCTGATGATCACATGCTTCAGGACTGGAGGTTAGGCAAGCTGGGCAAAGTAGCTCCAACTATTGGCTAATGTGTGGGTTGGTTATGGAAGGGGACAGACCAGGCAGGGCCGAGCAAACCTTAGCTCACTAGCAAGAACAGAAATCCAGCTGGAGAACAGGTCATGCCGAGCTAGGCTCTTACACCTACTGGTTGGCATGAGCCAGGGATGGAAATACACTGAGCAGGGCCAGATTCCAGCACGTGCCAGTGAGAATAGGGATGGGGGCAGGCCAGGTCACGGCAGACTACAGCATTTAGGTTAAGGCCAAGACAGGTGAGTGGCTATGCCAACCTGGATCAGAGCAACTACTGGCACATGCGCAATCTATGGCTAGGAAGAAGCCTGGTTAGGGAGCAAAGGGGACACCCTGGCTGGGTTGGGGTTCCCACTGGTGAGTGTGAAGGCCAGAGTGGGAGCTGCATTCCGGACTGCACATAGCTGCAGTGTCCCTTGGCACAAGTGTGGACAGGGGCTGGGTGCACCAGGCTGGGCTGGACTCCAGCACCCACTGGTGCTCGTGAGGACCAGGACAGGTGTAGGATGGGCTTAGCTAGGTCTCTGTCCATACTGAGCCAAGTGTGAGCTGTGTCTGGGTGTGGGCCAGGCTTGGCTGGGCTGAAATTTTATAGCCATCTGGGGAAAGAAACAGTGAATGGGAGCTCATGTTTGCTATCGTGTTCTGTCTCAGCTTTTCAAACAAAATGAACAAAAAAAATGCTGAATGTAATCAATTAAAAAAAATACTGAGAAGAATTAAAAATCAAAGTAAGCAAATCATATATAGTTAATAGAGATATATCTTATCTCCATCAATCTCAAATACATATTGTGAAAGTACTTACCTTATTTGAGGCTGTTAGCAGGAAAGTTCTTTGCAGATTTTCCTTTTCAGCCAAACACATCTGCAGTCTTCCAATTTCTTCTTTGAAATGAGTAATAGCACTTTCCTTGTTCCCATCTAAATTCTTTAAAGTCTGGACCTCTGACACAAGCTTGGTATTTTCAATTTCTGTGTTCTTCAGATGTACCTGGTAACAACATTTGAAAATGAAGAGGATAGTCTAACTTCATGAACTAAGTTAAATAAAACTAAGATGCTGTTATTTCTCTTCAGCCCACAATGATCAAAGGAAGGGACCAGGAGTGAGGAGATTCAAGGAACAGACACAGCTTTGCTAAGCTTTCTTTCTTCCCACAGAGGTTAATTCTATGCTCTCACCTCAATACCGGACATCCAATGTCTATTCCTCTGACATAATGATTTTAGGTTCTATTTTTTAAAAAATGTTCACTGGGGCCCGGCGCGGTGGCGCAAGTGGTTAAGTCCTCGCCTTGCATGCCCGGGATCCCATATGGGCGCCGGTTCTAATCCCGGCAGCCCCGCTTCCCTTCCAGCTCCCTGCCTGTGGCCCGGGAAAGCAGTCGAGGACGGCCCAAGGCTTTGGGACCCTGCACCCGCGTGGGAGACCCGGAAGAGGCTCCTGGCTTCGGATCGGCATAGTATCGGCCCGTTGCGCTCACTTGGGGAGTGAATCATCGGACGGAAGATCTTCCTCTCTGTCTCTCCTCTCTGTATGTCCGCCTTTCCAATAAAAAATAATAAAAATAAATCTTTAAAAAAAAAAAAAATGCTCACTGGAGTAGGCTGCTCTCTTGAGGAAATAGATGTTACAGGCACACTCAGATACGAGAACAGGACCAAATTCTGGAAAACTGTAGGAGGACATTGTGACCCTCAGTCAGCAGGCACAGGATTACAGTTGATTGGACAATATTTGTATGATAAACAACTGAATCGGTGCCTTTTGTGTGCCTTTCTTGAGAACAACCAAAAGACTACCTTTTGTACACCTGATGGGATATCATTTGTGTAAGAACAGTTGAGTGAAAAGTATGTGTATGAGAACACCTGGTGGAATATACAAGACAAAAGGAGTTCCAAACAAAAGCACAGAAACAGTTGATGGGTTTGTTGATGAGCTAAAAACCTCCACCCTAGTACTATAGACCCTCAGTGTATAAAGTCTGTTGCCCCTAATAAATTTTGGCTATTGATCATTAGTCAGTAGTCCATGCTATCGGCTCCAGAACCAAGTCCATCGCTGCAGGACAGAGACAGAAAATCAGAAGGGGCACATTCAAAACCAGTATCTCGAGCAATTTTTTTTTTGACCAATAAAAAGTACACCAGTTTCCATTCTTAACATTTATATGAATCAGTTTCCACAACTGTAATTATAGAGTAAACACATCTGTGTGTTATCACGAATATCGTGCTTTGGTTAATAGTGGGGGAAAAAATTACTCCTTGTAATTTACTCTTTAAATACATAAAATGCTGAAGGATTAATTCCTGTTCATCTTCTACAAACATGCCAAAATGCAACATCCTTGCAACATTACTTTTAAAAACTATCAAATTTCATAGTCATCATCTCATGAAAGTGACTTAACTAGAAGCTGACAACTCAGTATTACTAAATCCCTTGTCTGGCATTGTTTCCAGGAAAACGCTAATCAACCAGTTTTAAAAAATTATCTCCATGCCCTCCTACTAACACTTTCAGCAGTCAGGATATTTCTGTAATTCTTAAGATTATTTAAAAAACAAAAAACTGAAACTCAAACACAATTAGCAATTTGATAGACTACTGCTCTCACTAAGGCATATATATTCTTTTTTTTTTTTAAAAGATTTATTTTTATTATTTTTTGTTGGAAAAAATAAACAGATATACAGAGAGGAGATACAGAGAGGAAGATCTTCCGTCCGATGATTCACTCCCCAAGTGAGCGCAACGGGCTGATACTATGCCGATCCGAAGCCAGGAGCCTCTTCCGGGTCTCCCACACGGGTGCAGGGTCCCAAAGCTTTGGGCCGTCCTCGACTGCCTTCCCAGGCCACAGGCAGGGAGCTGGAAGGGAAGCAGGGCTGCCGGGATTAGAACCGGCGCCCATATGGGATCCCGGGCATGCAAGGCGAGGACTTAACCACTTGCGCCACCGCGCCGGGCCCGGCATATATATTCTTAAAAAGAAAGGGGAAATACTCCTTTACATATGAACAAGTGTTTCGCGTCACTCCACCTCTCTGATTTAATCACAGCACCTGCCAGCCATCTTCAATACCAGCAGGTTAATTCCCTGCAAACTGACTTCTACAAGCAACGTGACTTGTTTCTTTCTCTCTCAGATGTGCAGAGAAGTTAGCTACCCGCACTGTGAGGACATTCAAGCAGCTTACACAGAGGCCAGGACAACAAGAGCTCTGTTGCCCTCCCCCTGCTGGAAACCCAGTGATGGAGTCATCAGAGAAGAGATCCTCCAGGCCCAATCACAGCCAAATAGACTGCAGTCCCAGCCAACATTGTGCCAGCAATCGTGTCAAAGACAGGTAGCAAGAACCCCCTCAGCCAAGCAACTCCCAATTCCTAACCCACAGCCCCCAAGCCTGGTGTGATTCCTCACAAAGCTATAGCAAGCAGAAATAGAATAAATTACCTTATAAAGTTCCTTCTCGTCCTTTTCTGTCTTCAACTGACTTTCAAGTTGTTCTCTTTCATGCTGTGCCTTCCTGAGTTTGTCCTTTAAACTGAAAGAAGAAAATATGATGTTAAAATAAACCAGAAAAGCTATTAAAATACTTTTCTGGGCCCAGCGCAATACCCTAGTGCCTAAAGTTCTAGTCTTGCATGTGCCTGGATCCCATATGGGGGCCAGTTCTAATTCCAGCAACACCACTTTCCATCCAGCTCCCTGCTTGTGGCCTGGGAAAGCAGTCGAGAACGGCCCAAAGCCTTGGGACCCTGAACCCGTGTGGGAGACCCGGAAGAAGCTCCTGGCTGCAGATCAGCGCAGCTCTGGCCATTGTGGCCACTTGGGGAGTGAATCAGTGGACGGATGACTTTTTCTCTATATATCTGACTTTTCAACCTAATAAAAAAAAAAAAAATAAAGGCATCAAAAATACCTGTCCAGTTCGGTTTCTTTCTCAATTGTTTTGTGTGTCACTGACACAATGTCTTCTTCAAGCTGGAGGGCTTTGGCTTTTGCATCGCTGTATTTCTTCTTAAACTCCTCATTCTCCAATTTTAAACTTTGTGACACTTCCATAAAACCCTTAAAAGACAACACAAAATGTTTTCAGAAACAGAAACAAAATCAGCAACATCGGACAGAAGATCTTCCTCTCTGTCTCTCCTCTCTGTATATCCGCCTTTCCAATTAAAAAATAATAAAAAATAAATCTTTAAAAAAAAAAACCAAACAAACAAACCAAAAAAAGTAAAGACTAGCTTCCAATTCTGTAAGTAACAAAGTTCTATACTGGGGAAACAGTAGTCTTTAAAAATACATAAGGAAGAGTTAGAACGCAAAACATGAACTGCTTTCTCCCAGTCAGTTCATTCTTATGGTAACTTGGTAGTCAAAGAATCATAATGTGACCTGATAGCATTTTGGCATCTAATGCTATCTCTAAAAGTTGTAAATTGATAAAGTAGGAAGTAATTCCTGGCCTATAGTTTTATTGCACTAAAATATTCTTAAGCATATTCATAGTAGCTAACCCTTCCTTAAAATGAAAATAGCAAAGTACTAATCTAATAATCCTGTTTTTTTCCAAGACTTTAATTATTATTATTTATTATTATTGGAAGGTCAGATATACAGAGAGGAGACACACAGAAGAAGATTTTCCATCCACTGACTTACCCCTCAAGTGGCCACAAGGGGAGGAACTGAGCCAATCCGAAGCCAGGAGCCTTTCCTGGGTCTCCCACGTGGGCACAGGGTCCCAAGGTTTTGGGCTGTCCTCTACTGCTTTCTCAGGACACAGGTAGGGAAATGGGGCTGCCAGGATATGAACCAGCACAAACATGGGATCCTGGTGTGTACAAGGCGAGGACTTTAGCTGCTAAGCTACCAAGCCGGGCCCTAAAGTTACTTTTTCACACGAAAATATGAAGGAAGGCCTAGCACGGTAGCCTAATGGTTAAAGTCCTGCCTTGAACACGCCGGGATCCCATATGGGCACTGGTTCTAATCACGGACTGTGCCGGACCCTTAACTGGCAAGCACACACAAGAATCAGGTCTGGGATCAATTCAGACAAAGTTTCAATGGGGATTCCCCTGACTGAATTACTCAACTCAGAACCTCAACCCTGAAGAGAAGTGCAGGTATCATGGTCTGACCTCAGAGCAGTGAACAGCATATCCAGGTTCACATGGTAGGCAACTGGAGCCTACAGAGAACAGTTGGTACCACAGCAAAGGTTGGAGGACAGAACAAATCAATCATCTACCCCAGCCAAGTGATGGCAGTGAAAATCTGGGCAAGCAGAGATGCTAAGGTGGACTGTGTCAGCCAGTGGATTCTGGAGAGATTTCATCATGCTTGGAATGGCGAGATGGGCAGCAATCCAGAACTGTTGAACTATCAAAACCATCTGAGCAGTGCCCTCGGAGCATGCCCTACACTGGGGACCATGGGATGGTTTGGAGCTGGGTGAGACTTCTTTCTTTATCTCCCCTCTTCCCCCAGATAAAGAAAAAAAAAAGGTGGAAACAATGGTCTTGTCCACTTTCCTGTAGCCGTTGACTCTTTGCAGCCTAATTAACTATGTGAAGATCACAAAAATAAAAGAATTTTTAAAAAGTAACAATAAAATCTGAAAGTCCGGTACGATGGCTCAATTGTCTAATCCTCCCCTTCCAAGTGCCAAGATTCTATATGGTGGGCACCAGTTTGTACCCCAACTGCTCCATTTCCCATGCAGCCCTTGCTTACTGCCTGAGAAAGCAGTATAGGATGGCCCAATGCCTTGGCACCCTGCACCGACATAGGAGACCTAGAAGAAGCTCCTGGCTCCTGGCCTTGGATCAGCTCAGCTCTGGCCACTGCAGTCACTTGAGGAATAAGCCAGCAGGTGGAAGATCTTTCTCTCTCCATCTTTTTGTAAATCTGCCTTTCCAATAAAAATAAGACTAGAAATAAAAAAGAATAAAATCTAGGGCCAGTGCTGTAGTGTATCAAATAAAGCTGACACCTGTAGTACTAGCACCCCTTGTGAACACTGGTTCAACTCCCAGCAGCGCCACTTCCAATGTGGCTCCCTACTAACATTCATGGGAAAGTGCCAAAGAGGGCCACAGTGCTTGGCCTCCGTACTCAAATGGAAAACCCAAAAGAAGCTCTTGGTTCTTGGCTTCAAGCTAGCAGTCAACGCCACTGTGGCCATTTGAAGACTGAACCAGAAGATGGAAGATCTCTGTCTCTCTTCCTCTAATTATGCCTTTCAAAAATAAAAATAGGAGCCAGTACCATGGATTAACAACAGGCTAATCCTCCCACCGTGAGGTGCCAGCATCCTATATGGGTGCTGATTCATGACCTGGCTGCTCCACTTCAAATGCAGCTCCCTGCTTATGGTCTGGGAAAGTATAGGACACCCAAAGCCTTGGGACCCTGCATCCGTGTGAGAGACCAGGAAGTAGTTCCTGGCTTCTGGCCCTGGATCAGCTCAACTCTTGTCATTGCAGCCATTTAGAAAACCAGGAACAGAAGACTTTCTCTATTTCTCTTCCTCTGTCTAAATCTTTCAGATAAAAATAGTTTTAAAAAAAAACTTTTTTTTGTTTTTTTTTTTAAAAAAAAGCTTAAATCTACAGCTTTTGAAAAACATTTGATAGGTGGCAAATATTCATTTGGTCACCATTTATAAATCATGACAAAGCATACCACAATTCCAACAATACAAAAGACAAAGTTAATTCTGATTATCAGTGGGCCAGCACTGTGGCAAAGTCAGTTAAGCTACCATTTACAACAGCGGCATTCCATCTAGAAGCAATGGTCAAGACCTGGCTGTTTCACTTCCAATCAGGCTCCCCACTAACATGTCTAGGAAGGGGCTCCGTTTTTCTTCCTGCCACTCACAGAGACGAAAGCAGAGTTCCTGGCAACTGAGCTGACTTCAGCCTGCCCCATCATGGCTGCTGCAGGTACTTGGGGAGTGAACCAGCAGATGGATGACCTCTGTCCCTCATTCTCTACTCCTCTGTCTTCTGAATAAATGAATCTTAAATGTAAAAATTAGGTCTGACTATAAATGTATATATATATATGTGTGTGTATGCATATATATATCAGCACATATACATATATTTGATATATATGTCAAAAGAACTGAGATGCACTATTATCTGAAAAAAAAAACAGTTCTGGAATCATAAAGCACATCGAGAAAAAAATAAATTAGGTTCTAAATATTTTAGATAATCAATTGCCTGCAAATAATTTTCTTATTTACAAAAATTTCTAGTCAGACTTCAAATTAAATCTTACTCATCTGAATGCAGCTTTACTCAAAAACCTCACGTCTCTAAAGTAACTGAAAACAAGCCATGCAACCAATTACACACGATATAAACATGCCTCCTCTGGTTTCTAGAAAACCACACAAAAATTTGAGAACACAATAATCTATCTTCATGGTATCAACAGACAAACACATGCTAAAAAAATGAAAATAATAATTAGGCAATTACATGTTTCATGAACAGTATCCCTTACAAACACAACCTCTTTAAGTTGCTGTTGCATGCTTTATTTATTCAAACTATCTTAGGGATCCCATATGGGTCCGGTTGGTATCCGGCTGCTCTACTTCCAACTCCCTGCTTCTGTCCTAGGAAAGCAACAGAGAATGGCCCAAAGTCTTGCAACCCTAAAGCCACATGGCAGACCCTGAAGAAGCTGCTGGCTCCTGGCTCCTGGCTTCGGATCGTTCCGCTCTGAGCGTCCAGGACACTTGGGGAGTGAACTATCAGATGCAGGAATCATCCTCTATATCTCCTCCTCTCTGTATATCTGACTTTCCAATTAAAGGAAATAAATCTTTAAAAAAAAGAAAAGATCCTGAGGTGTAGCTGCCTAACAAGCTTGTAACTATAATTTCTCCTCCAGGTAAGTATAGTATTTTACCCCATAAAAGTTCTGTTTTTTACATTATAAATGTATTATGCTTTTATAATCTAGGGGAAATACTACGCACCTCCATTCCTGTTAGATTACAGCTATTATTTTAATCTTTCTCATGGTTATATAGCTCACAAGCATAAAAGGCAGTAAAGTAACAGTGACTCAGGTCAGAGAAAGATCCAAAATTTTCTATAATTCACAATATCACTAAAAAAAAGAGAAAGAAATCACTTGCAAATGTTTTCCAGAGTATGCCCCAATGCATCCTCTCCTCCAATATTACAAACTATCATAAAGATTTAAGAGGTGCCATAAAAGCTTCTGTCAAAGACCCTTCCTGGGTACCAAGGCAACAGCCTTCTATTAAGATCAATTATATCCTGATCTCAGTCTGTTAGAACAAGCTGTGGACACGTACCAAGTCCTTAGCACCTTACCACCTGGCACAGCACAGAGAACCTGTGATGCTTTAAGTCGCACAATCCTCAACTGGACTAGACACATGGCCTCTAGTTCATGAGAAAATTCACACAAATGAAGGCCTGCCATTCTGCCACTTGTATTATGAACACCCATTCTTTTCTTGGACTTCAAGGTGATCAGAATCAAACCATAAAAGGCCACATTTCAGCATATTTTGGAATAAAGGATTTAGGACACACTAAATTGGGCTTTTACATAAATCATCTACCTAATCTCGATTCCTCTGGCTTTTGATACAGTCAAACAAACAAAAAAAGACTTTCAGGAAATGTCAAACCCAGGTACAACCGCTGAGAAGCATGTGAAAGAATGGAGAAAAAACAGTGATAACTATACAGTACAATTATGCAACCAAGTAAAAACTCAGCTGAATGTCCTAAAAGTAAACATGTACCTCATGAATTTTTACTGATTTTTAATACTTTGTACTTCTGGTTTAAAAAGTGTGAAAGAAAATAGTCCTTAAACAAACAGAAAACTCTACCTCTATAGTCTACTGCAGAATACTAAATGTTTCCAAGAACAAATTGGGGAAATGCCTGAATATTTTTAACAGGTAATTAGAAGTTAAGATGCTTCAGACACTCATAAAGAAATTTACAAATGCTCATATGACTTGACATTACATTTACTCTCTAATCCAAAAGAATGATCCTCAAACAAATACAACAAAGAGAAGTCATCCCAGCTTGGTAAGCCCTACTTATGTACCATTTCTGCTTATGTATGCAACATGTAAGCGCTCTACTGCAAAGTAAAACTGGTGAGAATCACGGCAATGAGTAACTGGTAAGCAACTGCTCTAGGTCCTTGTTTGGTAAAAGAACCAAACAGACCCACCATCCGGGAACAAGTTAATCCTTTCAACAGACATAAATATATCCAACCAGGTTTGAGACTTCAAAACTCACCATCACAATCTGTACATACTTTGTCAGAACACATTATTTTTCTTATGAAAATACTGAGCCAATGCAAGGCTGACTAGTGTTTTCCCAATGCTTTTGGTTTCTCACTTAAACCTATTTGTATCTCTAATGAAATAACAGTTTTCTGCTTATATTTTTTTCTGTGCTCAAAAAATGGCACCAACTCGAAGTAGGTGTTTCTTAGGTAATTTGTAGCATTTCTCACATCAGAAAAATCTTAAAATGTTGTCTAATACCACATATTGCCTGAGTTCTGCCTTTTTTTTTAGGACAAATTTATTTTATTGCCCTTTTACTACTTATCACCTCAGCTTTTATCATTTCTATTTTCAAACAAACAAAAAAAAGTCTAATGAGTAATCTACAATTCTTTGTAAAACATCTGGGAATAGTTGTCAGGACTAGCTTATCAAGCCTGGTACCAATAATATAAAAGTATTTTAACCATCTTAAAACAAAAAAAGACTGTGGCAGAAGGTTAATAGGAACTGACCTATTCAAGCATAAATGTTTACTTAAAAACTACTATTTTTTCAATATCTCATATTCTCTAACTTCATTGGTTCAGGTCGTCGAAAAGGTGGCTTTTAGATAACTACCAATTCCAACCAGTTACACAGCACAGAACGAACCTGCTGCTCTGCCTGGAGCTGCTCACATCTTTCTTTCTCATGGTTAAGTTCTTTTTCCGTTCTTCCAATCTGTTCTCGAAGTTGTGCAGTTTCTTTTTCCAAAACAGCAATTAACTTTAACAGTTCTTCTTTTTCCTTCATGATTTTTTCAATTTTCAACTGCAAAACAAAAACTAAAGTCAATTTTAAGTCCAAACTACATCCCTGCAAATTGACTTTTTATATTCCAAAACAAAAGAGGAAATCAGATACAGATTTTTTCATATCAGTTCCATACAATATTTTGTTAGAAAAATTCATGAATCGCAAACTTACATCATCTTTTGGTTACAGCAGAAAATATTATAAGGAGGCATAAGTGTAGCCAAATGAGAAATTACCCATGTGTTTCCTTTTCAAATCAGCACTTCAAATATGGCACACTAAGGTGCACCAATGACTGACCCACTGGGCTTTCTTATCTGGAATAAGCACACACATCACAGAATTACACTGCTTCTTTGTGAAGACAATCCTGTAGGAAATCTTTGAACTGCCACATTGAAGTGTTCGTCTGTAAGATTTTGACAAGTTTTGGGTCTTTACCTAAGGTACCAAGGAATAAATAGCTTCTATGCAGAACACTTTAAAAAGGTCATGGAAAATGAAAAAGGAAATATACACAATTCTGAAATCCATGCATACAAGGGGACCTCAAAGGGTTAATGTCAAGTTAAAATTATGGGGAAAAAAAACTATGCATTGTTTTAAAAGTTTTGATACAAAAATAAACTTATGTTTTAATTCTGATTTTTTTGGATGCACCCTTACATGTAATGGCCTCTACGTGGCTTAGTGAAAACAACTGTGTAAATAAAAATGCAAATTTGAAAACAAAAATGTAGACTATAGTAATTTAGTAACAATATAAATGATCCTTAGAGAATACTAACAGGTCAGGATAATATACCAACGCACTAGACATCATTAGGATCTACATCAGCAGTAAACAAAAGCAATATTTCTATTACAGAAAAACTCTTTGATTCTAACCAGAAAAAAAAAAAAGAGATTCAGAGGGTGATTCTGTCACTGAAGCTAAAAATTGTAAATTTTAGCTGGAAAAATAAAATATTTCTGTGCAGTCACACTAAATTAGTTTCCCAAGCTTATAAAATCAAACTGGTTGAACTCATTAAAATGGCTGAAAACTTTGAGAATCATGCTTTTATCTTTTCCAATATAACAAATCAAATGATTAGGAGTAAACACCCTGAAAACAGAGCTTTTTTAAACACCTTATCTATTTTTTAAAGTTTATTTCTGTAATTTTTGTGTTAATTTTTTTTCCCGCTAAATCATCTGAAATGAAATCAGCCATTTCACCCGTAATCATTTCAGAAAAATCACTAATAAAGACAATCTCCTTTTTAACCACTACTGTCATTACAGCTAAGAAAATTAAGCATAATTTGTATTATCCAGTAGATAAGCCACAAACATCCCCACTATCCTCAAAAAACTTCCTCTTTTCTAAATCTGCTATCTAATCGAGGCTCACACACTGCAGGACTAAGTCTCACTAACCACTTTTAACATCAACAAGGACTCAGATAATATCTACGATTTCTATTAATTTTGTGTTAGATATTAAAGAGTTTAATGAATGTAAAACATAAAAGACTTGTCCAAAAAAAAAGGTTAATAAATAAAAAAGATTACATCTCAGAAACAGTTACCCAAGAAACAGCATCTTAAATTTTCTTCATAAAGAACCCTTTCTGGAGTAGGAAGGAATGAAATAGATTGTGAAAATCTATTTGGAGAAAACACAAGATAAACCCATCTTTTGTCTGTGGGAGGCCCTGAAATCAGGGTGGTCTACTAAGTATTCCAAAAGCTGTCCTGTAAATGCTAACTACATTCCTCTAAAGAGCTGGGCCTGTTCCTGCATCTCTACCATTCAAATATCTGACTAAAAACCTTGATCAGCTGGCAGTTGTCACCACAAAATGTTTTAGTCACCCTATAAAAGATACATTTTTGTATTAGTGATAAGAGAGGAATTTCTGAAAAGACAAAGATAGGGAAGAATTCACAATACAATAATGACTAGTTCCTTCTAACCTTCCAGTGTCTAATAAAAATACTTGTAACTTTATGTCTTTTTTCTTATAATCTTTCTTCAAGGTAAATAAAGTAAAATCAAAGGCATAAAACAACCTATTAAAAATTATCCATTGTCTGTTTCTCCTCTCTGTAAATTTGACTTTCCAATAAAATTAAATCTTTAAAAAAAAATCACCCACCTGACTATACACAGAAAGCAATGTCCTATAGACAAAATATGAACAGAATTACCCAAAATATTCAATTTTAAAAGCAAGTTTTCTGATTATAAGCACATTAAACACTAATTGCTGCCTTAACTGAACATAATAGTTTATTAATATAGTAGTTTATAAAGATGGGAAACATCTTGAAATGATATTTTAAAATGGTTCTATTTTCTCTTTTAATGACTAATAAAAATAAAATGATTATATCATCTATCTACATAGTAAACTCATGCTGGAGCCAGCATCATAACTCCACAACTCATTTATTTAAAAAACTGAAAAGCTTTTCACCTTTGCTTTGTAAATTACGGCTAATCTAGGCTTATTATTTGACAGTATGAACAAGGAAAAGTATCACTGTAAAAATGTCCAACCTAAATGAAAATTAAGTATGCTCCCCGATTCACTAAACATGCGGGCATGAGAAACAGCATGCCCACAGCTCATAAAACGAAGCTCACACCCAGACACACTGCCTTCCGCTCTCTCCCAACCAGCTTTAGGTCCCAAGTTTACTCTGTTCTCCCATCAATGAATCAGGCTACCAAAAAAGCAGACAGACAGGATTAAGGGAACATAAAGAAGTGTTCCAGTGGCTATTTTCTGCATCATTCACTATGCATAAAATACTGACGGGCTCTGAGGACATAGTCTCTGCGAGTGTGGAACCAATATGTAATTATAACCAAAGATTTGTATCTTTTTCAAAAGAGACACTGTGCATGCATTTATTACTTCAGTTAAAAAGCATTTGATTTTTCATGGATACTCTTGCATAATCTGAAAATTCTTAAAATGCCAGCCAGTATGAGCTCTGCCTCACTATGAACACCAACCTCCAGAAGGCCGGCTTTCGTCGTTACCACCAGCATGTCAGAATTCCCTTCATCTTCCATAGTAAGCAGCTCTTCAACAGGGGAAGCAGCTCGGAACTGGAAAGGTGTACTAGCCCCACGAATTTCACCCTTATGGGTAACATAACAGAACTGGTAAAATTCGCCGTCGTCATTCGGAAGGTAATACCCTAAGAGGTGATAAATAAAAAAGATCAACTTTCCAATATAAGATGACTCTTCCTTCCTTCTCAAACAAACCCAAACTTCCCATCTGTTAGTTCTAAAATTATTCTATCATAATATCTTTTCCATTTCTATCTCCACTAGGGCAAGATCAGCTCATCTGGAAGAAAAAAGTATGTATTTTACAATGGAAAAAGTGCTGCACTAACTGGGGAACACCAAGTATAAAAATCTGAGGACTGCAAAAAGAGGTGAGACTGTCATTTCCAGAAATGCTTTTCTGATATAAAATTCAGTATTTTTAAAAGGGAATTATTAATCCCAGTGCCTATAAAACTGTGTCACATAGTACAATGTTATTAATAATAATAAAAGGGAATTATTCTCTAAAAGAATATGCTATGTATGTAAATTAGATTAAAGCAAAAACAGTGTAGGACCTGTTGGTACAATAAAAAAATAATAAGCACAACAAGCTTTGGAATCACACAGACCTATTCTGGAATTCCAATTTTATACTTTTATGTACTTAACCTGAGCTGTATGTTCTTTTCTGTAAAGAAGAAATCTGGTTATCTATCACAGTTACTAATTTTCTCCCAATTGACAAAATAGCTATTATGTAACCACTGATGTATTCAATATTGGTATACTCTTCCTCAATTTTTGTTAAAGATTTGTTTTTATTGGAAAGGCAAATTTACAGAGAAAGTGACAAAAGATCCTCCGTTTGCTAGTTCACTCTCCAAATGCTACAACAGCTGGAGCCGAGACAATCCGAAGCCAGGAGCCAGGAGCCTCCTCCGGGTCTCCCACACAGGTACAGGGTCCCAAGGATTTAAGCCGTGCTCAACTGCTTTCCAGGGCCACAAGCAGGGAGGTGAATGGGAAGCAGGGCTACCAGGATTAGAACCAACACCCATGTGGGATCTCGGCAGGTGCAAGGGGAGGACTTTAGCCACTGGGCTACCGCACCAGACCCTCCATTTTTAAAGGCCCCTTAAAAAGGTAAGGTACATCTTGTGATACTTGAAGCTAAGATCTAAGTACTCAATCTCTCATTCTGCTTTTCAAGAAAACAAACCTTTAAAAAAAATAAATCTTATCAAAAATACTTTCCAAATAAGTACAACTAGAAATGTTCATCCCAAAACTAAACTGTTTTCTGATTTCTCTTGGGTAAGTATCTGTATGCTAAGCATTTACATTAAATAACTTTCAGTACAGATTTTTTTTCTACTTGAAAGAAAGAGGGAGGGAGGGAGGAGAAAAGGTGGAAAGGAAGCCAGGGCTTGGTTGGGCTTCAGGCTATACTGCACTTAAAACAGAAGGATGCCAGGGGCTCAGAATTTGCCCAGATCTGCCAAGTAAGTGGCAGGGCCTATGCACTCCAGCGATCACCTGCATCTCCCAGGACACATTAACAAGAAGCTGAATCCAAAGCAGGGCAGCTCGGACTGAACTCAGCACTCAAAGATGGCAGTGAGCACAACAGGAAGCAGCTAGGGGCCAGCGCCCTGGCCTAGCCGGCTAAGGCTTTGCCTGAGGCTTCAGCATTCCACATGGGTGCCTGTTCTAGTCCCAGCTGCTCCACTTCCAATCCAACTCCTTATTTACAGACTGGGAAAGCAGCAGATGACCCAAATCCTTGGCCCACACACTCATGTGGGGGACCTGGAGGAGTTTCATGACTCCTGGTTTCTGATTGGGCCAGCAGCTATTGTGGCCATTTGGGGAGTTTACCTGTGCATGGAAGATCTCTGTCACTCTTTCTCTCTGCCTTTCAAATAAAGATAAATCTTTTAAAAAAAAAAAAAAGAAAAGAAATAGTATGGTCCAGGCCCAGTAGCCTAGTGGCTAAAGTCCTTGCCTTGCACTTGCCAGGATCCCACATGAGCTCTGGGTCTAATCCCAGCAGCCCCACTTCCCATCCAGCTCCCTGCCTGTAGCCTGGGAAAGCAGTCAAGGATAGCCCATGTGGGAGACCCAGAAGAGCTCCTGGATCCTGGCTTTTGATTGGCTTGGCTCCAGCTGTTGCAGCTGCTTGTGGAGTGGGTCAAGGGACGGAGGATTTTTCTGTCTCTCCTCTCTGTATATATGATTTTCCAATAGAAATCTTAAAAAAACAAAAAAAAAGGAAGAAAAAATAATATGGAACTAGCAGCTAAAGTCTTAGGTTTACACACGCCAGGATCCCATTTGGGCGCTGGTTTTAATCCTGGCGGCCCCGCTTCCCATCCAGCTCCCTGCTTGTGGCCTGGGAAAGCAGTCAAAGATGGCCCAAAGCCTTGGGACTCTGCACCCATGTGGGAGACCGGGAAGGGCCTTTAGACTCCTGGCTTCAGATCAGTGCAGCTCCAGCCATTGCTGCTACTTGGGGAGTGAAACAGTGGAATAGAAAACCTTTTTGTCACTCTTTTTCTCTGTAAATCTGACTTTCCAATGGAAAAATAAATAAATCTTTAAAATAAAATACAGATTTAAAGTATATATTAATATGTAACAAATTTTCACTGCAATAATTTATGACTAAATTCAGTGAGTTTTCTTGGCAATTTCATACATTTTATTTTCTATACATTATGCTGATGTAAAGCCCATTAATTTCACCAGAACAAAAACAATTTGTAGTATATCCAAAGATAAGAACTTGACTGAATACAATCTAGTGAAATTATATACTTGCAATATGAAATCACTGTACCAATCTGACAGATTTCCAAGAGCATTTTTCCGATTAATTATAAAAAAATAACAAGTTACAAGCTTAACCATTGTAAACATACAACCACCCCTACCATTCATTTCTAAAATGCTTTCCATAATATAGTCCTATACTCACTAAACAGTAATTCCTCTAGATCTGCTTGGCCAGGACTCCACTCCTAGAGAGGAGTTTGCCTTCTCTAAGCACCTGGATGTAAGCCAGTTCATTCCCATTATCTTTGGCCCAGGTGACTTAGCATCATATCCTCAAATTCACTCACACGGCAGATACACCAGAATTAGCTGAGTAATAATTGTTAATACATGTGCAACATCAAGGCTAGCAGTAGCTTTTGATTACTCACTTCAGTCCACCTAGTAAGAACTTCCATCTGTTAGAATCATGTAACTGCTCTATAAAACTGTCAATCATCCTCATGGTTTCCAGCTACAATACGTTCCTCACCTCTAGCCTGTTACAGTGCTCTAACATCAGAAATGCCATTTTCTTATTCAAAGAAAAAAACATCACCCCAGGGAAAGATGTGCAAAGAAATCCACTATTTCAGCAAAAGATAATAATGAAATTTTAATTTCCACATAATATTATTTTATGGCCCACAGCAAATATACCAAGTATAATTAAGACTAATACACATTCCCACACACTTTTCTAAACAAAGAAACTATTTCAACTTTGGCACCCTGGATATGTCTAACAGATCATTAAAATGGGGTATAACTTTTTTTTTTAAAGATTTATTTTTATTATTATTTTTTATTGGAAAGGCGGATATACAGAGAGGAGAGACAGAGAGGAAGATCTTCCGTCTGATGATTCACTCCCCAAGTGAGCGCAATGCCGGATACTATGCCGATCCGAAGCCAGGAGCCTCTTCCGGGTCTCCCACGCGGGTGCAGGGTCCCAAAGCTTTGGGCCGTCCTCTGCTGCTTTCCCGGGCGTGCAAGGCGAGGACCTTAACCACCTTGCACCACCGCGCCGGGCCCGGGGTATAACATTTTTTAAGGCAATGAAGCATCCAGATTGATTGAATTCTATAGTTTTTTGTAGTTTTGCTCTTACCTTGAAATGCTAGTACACAATTGACTGTTGATCCTTCTACATACTGTTCAGGCATAGGCGACCATAAAAAAGTGTAATAATCCCGAGCAGTACTCCATCCAACCTGTAGGAAAATAACCAGGATAGGGGAGTAGCTGTGAGATTAATAGCATCTAATATAAGCCTGATACTCTATGCTATACTATTTGATACTACAACCTAATGTTAAAACATATACTTCATATCTACAAATCAGTATTTTACCAAAATATCAAATTACAATGTACCTTAAGCAATAGCCTACAGTATAAAAACCTACATACTAAATATCGGATTACTCACAGGTAAGGACACACAGATTATTGTGTTTAAAATCTGACTTCCCCAAACCTATGTTTAGTGACAAACGTTGAAGACTTTTGGTTTTGCTTAGGCATCTCTTTGCACTAAATTCACTTACCTTTCATTTTTGTAGTCTCACAATAAGCAATCTATATAAATTCACACAAAGACCTTCAGCACAAAAATTTTCATACATACAAGCCACCTATGTCTCACCTATCGCTAAACCATTTTCAACTCGTATTACCTTACATAGCTAAACCTGTATTTTCTAGATAAACTATAGCACATTATATAACTCAAGAGTAGAGTTATTTAAAACAGATACTAGCTATCCATTTGCTAGTAAAATTACGAGAAAGCATGCATCAGCCACAGAGTTAGATCACACATATTCTATGATTACAACTTGGCTTTTATCTCTAAAGGATAGCTGAGCGATTACAACCCAGCAGGACTGGTGCAATCACCCCAGCAATCCTTGATCAACATGCACTGCACTAATTATATACAGCATTCTTTCATGAAACTTTTAATGTATGAGCGCATGCAACTTCTCTGGGACAAATCATAGACTTCATTTCTGGGTGGCATGGTCAAAAATATTTGACACTTGTCATTTTCTACAGATGAGAAGCTTGAAAGAAACCAGTTACCAGTGACTTACGGCATCTGTCTGAGCCTCTGGTTTTACTCTCAAAGTTGGTGAATGCCTATGGCACTTAGCTAAGTGCCCCACCCACTGCACAAATGGAAGTTACTTCAAGTGCAGTGCAATGTACTGATTAAGAACATTGTGTGCAGGGTCACATGACTAGTAAAGGCCATTCACTGGCACTACCACTTCAGACAGGTTGCTCATTTCTAGTTCTTCCTCTTTAAAATAAAGATAATGGTAATCATCTCAAAATGTTGCTCCGTGTCAAATGAAATCATTCCTGTCAAGTTTCTGGTACAGAGCTTATTAAATATTATTTAGTGTTTATTAAATATTGCCACTCACTGGGGCCAGCAATGTGGTACAGTGCGTTTAACTACCTCTTGCAACCCAGGCATCTCCTAAAAGTCCCACTGCATTCAAATCCCAATTCCTCCATTTCTGCTCCAGATCCCTGCTCATGGCACCTGACTGCTTGGGCTCCTGCCACTCACATGGGAGACAGAGTTCCATGCTCTCGGCTTGGGCCTGGCCCAGTCCCAGCTGCTGTGGGGCAAACATGCAGATGGCAGCTCTCTCATCTCGCTTTAACTCTGACTTGCAAATATCCTCTAAGTTTCTCCAGTTCTTCCAACAAGACATACTTCTGGTACAAACAGTATTTTGCATTCTTTGTTCCTGTCCATATACTGATACTGGGCGGGAAAGAGTGGCAAGAAAACCTCCTTAGAACTATATTTTCTTGGGAAAGGAATCTAAATGAACAGACGCTACTCAAACCTGGTGGCTAATAAGGCAACTGAGGCATGTGGGCTTGGTCTAGCTGATAAGGTGTGTGTGGAGCCTTAGAGGAGCAGCAGACGACGAATTTCAGTCCCTGCCACCCATATAAGGTTGAACTCAGGCTCCTGGTTTCAACATGACCCAGTCCCAGCTATTGTGGGCATTCAAAAAACCAGCAGATGAAAGATTAGCCTGCCACTTGCAAAAAAAAAAAAAAAAAAAAAATTAGAAGGAAAAGGAAAAATATGCCAGATACAATGGTTGCATGCCATATTCCAAGTGCCTGAAATCCAGTCCTAGCTCTGCTCCCAATTTCAGCTGTTGACTAATAGACATCCCAGGAGGGAAATATGAGCTCAAACAGCTTGGTCCCTGATTCCCACATGGAACACCAGATCACAATCTCACTATCAACTCCACGCTGGCCCAGGCCAAACGACTGCAGGCACCTGGGGAGTATACCCGTGAATGGGAATGATCATACTCTCTCCCCCTTCTGAACAAATACAAACACATTTTTAAGAAAACAGCAAAAAGCTGACAGTGCCATTTACTTGTAAAACTAACTCACAAAACCTCTAACATGCTAACATCACAGGTATAAAACAATATGATTCAAGTTAGCACTAGGAAGAACAACCAAAGATACTGTTTTGATTTACTATACAAATTAGGAAATGTATGGAAGCCAAAATTTAAACCCCAAATCTAAGCTTTTCTGCTACCCACACACTACTCAGTATTCTCCCTAATAAAACTTCCTCCTTCCCTTCCAACACTAGCTCTATACTACCTAATTCCTAAGGTACAGATGACAAAAGACAGGATATGTCTTACATCTTTGCTTCCACATTAAAATACATCAGAGTGCATCACACTGGGAGAAACAGGCAAGAAAGGTATCTGGAAATTATGTATGAACCCTCTGTAATCATGAGGAAATCTGAGAATCAACAAATCAGGGTGTTCAAATTAACAGGTTTTTTCCCTACATTTTATTTTCCTGGTCATCTGACTAAAACGCTGACTACAAGGCTGCAAGATACATCACAATGCAAGGGCAGGTGCCTTTCAGTCCTCGGATAGTATGTGCAAAGAAGATCACTACCAGACCCGGCGGCGGGGCCCTAGCAGCTAAAGTCCTCGCCTCGAATGCCAGGGATCCCATATGGGCGCCAGTTCTAATCCCGGCAGCTCCACTTCCCATCCAGCTCCCTGCTTGTGGCCTGGGAAGGCAGTCGAGGATGGCCCAAAGCCTTGGGACCCTGCACCCGCATGGGAGACCCGGAAGGTTTTCCTGGATCCTGGCTTCAGATAGGCATAGCATTAGCCGTTGTGGTCACTTAGGCAGTGAATCATCGGACAGAAGATCTTCCTCTGTCTCTCCTCTCTGTATATCTGACTTCCCAATAAATAAATAAATCTTAAAAAAAAATCACTACCTCTAGATTTGAAAACTTTAGAACACTAAAAACTACCAAAGATCATGCCAACAAAACCCAACACGTCTGTGATTCCTGACTTTATTTGTAAACTAATTTAATTTCTGCTAAGAATATAACCCCTCATACTTTGCACTTGCATAACTCAGACCAAATCAAATTCATATACACAAATAAAATAAAACTCAGAGCAAATATACACATATACACAGTCAAGCGACGGAGCCACGGGCTGGGTTGCTCATCTCCCATATGGGTTTTGAACTTCTCACTCTACTTGCTGCATCAAATTTCCTAACTCACACCTAAGAAGGTAGCAAGTGATGGTTTTTGTTGTCTTTGACACCCATAAATCCAGTTCCTGTGGTCCAGACCACCAGGGGCATTTAATAAGTAAACCAGCAGGTGAGAGCTCTCTCATCTTTGCTTCTCAATTTAAAACCAAACAAATCAATGGAACAAATATAATGCATTTTACTGCAATTAACATTGGATTTAATAATAAAGATATGGCATCAGATGCAGTTCTAAATCATTTTTTGCAAGCTGAACTGATGAGCAACTCCACTGCCCATTTTGTATATTCCTATCTCCCTAACTGAACAGGGTAGAGGATCGTGCTCAAACACCTGTTCACATGAGGCTCTAAATCACTTTTATCTCTGGACCTCAGTTACTTCATCTGTAAAATGGAACGTATAGCAGCTAGATTTAAAAAATCTTTATGAAATATAAATACAAAAAAAAAAGGTATAAAAACTACTAGGAAAGAAATTTAAAACTGACAACCAGTCTTAAGACCCTTCTCAGGCTTCACTCATTTTCCCAAGCAACTTGAACTTCCCAGTCAGTTATCACTTCAATAATGCACACAAAACCACAGGAGTGTCCTTTATCCCTTCAACTTCCCTTCCCATCACGGTCTGAATGAAACCCGCTTTTGGCACTCTTCACATACAAATCTGGGTGGTGATCCTCTCTGAAGAAAGTCATAAAACCGCTGCTTAGCAATCTCCTACTTACCTACTCCAATTTCCTTTAACATTCTTCCAACTGTGGCAAGACCAAACCTGTTCCACATTTAAGCCCTTCCAAATTTTTAGCATATGGCCTTCCTAACCAAGGTGCTATAGAATGAGTTGCAGTTCCAACCCAGCTAACTGCTGACATATCCAATGAAATCTACTTATGGAAAAGTACCTGAAATTGATTCCTTTCTCCATTTCAGACCTTCATTATCTCACACAGAGAATTAGCACAGTCTAAATGTTTCCTGTACTTTCATTCTCTTCAAAGTCCAGTTTATCTTACACTGCATTATAAGATCCAAGTTCACTTCTAACCTTAATTACTCCTTATTGAAAACCTATTCCTTAAACATTAAGACAACCCACAATGTAATCCAAGCTACCCTTCCCCATTCATCCTCTAAACCGAGCATCTGACCCAGGCAAATCAAACTCCTTCACACTTTCTCAAGCATATCACACATGTTCCTGTTTTCACTCCTTCACCCTTAAAATTACTACCAGGGCATTCTCTTCGGACCTAATGGTCACAGTAATGAGTCCGGAGGGCAACCTGCAGTATAAAGTGTTCTAAAATTTTCACGTACAGAACTTAATCAATACAGTCAGTAAGCAATGAAAAAAATAAATACAGATCTTACTAAGCATTATTTATGGTAAACACTTAGCATAAATGTCCACTAGTAAAGAATTAGCTCAATGAATTGACTGAACTGATGAAATGTGTGTGTCCACTGAAGTGTACCAGGGGATGGTTCCGGTGCGTGGGTCCTTCCCACCCAAGGGGGAAAACTCTGCAAGCTTCTGGCTCCTGGCTTCAGCCTGGCTCAGCCCCAGCTGCTGCTGGCATTTGGTGAGCGAACCAGAGGATATCCCCGCCAATCTCCTGATCACAGACTGTCCACTCCTCATCCTTTGAAGTGTCTCACCACTGCCTTTGCTCGTGCCGTTTTCCTGCTGGGATGGCCTTCCTGTGCTCAACGCCATTTCCCTCCTCCTCCTCCATTTCATGCCCATTCTCACAGTTCTCCCAGTTCTATTATCTTTAACTTGATCTCAGTATTTCACATAAAAACCAAACTAATACAATAAATATGCCCACAACTTATAATGTGACAAGCCCAAACCTCATACGAAGTGTTAACAGGACCTTAACCACTTGCGCCACCGCGCCGGGCCCTTCTTTTTTTTTTTTTTTTTTTTTTATTGGAAAGGCGAAGTGTTAACAGGAATTCATCTATTAAGGAGTATCAAATAATAATTCAAAAAAGAGGAACTGGAGCCCGGCGCAGTAGCCTAGTAGTTATATCCTTGCTTTGTATGTACCAGAATACCAATATGGGTGCCAGCTGGTGTCCTGACTGCTTCACTTTCCATCCAGCTCCCCGCTTGTGGCCTGGGAAAGAAAGAACAGTCCAAAGCCCTGGGACCCTGCACCCACAAGGGAGACCTGAAAGAAGCTTCTGGCTTCAGATCAGCTAAGTTTCAGGGAATCAATCAGCGGTCACGTGGACAGATCTTTCTGTCTCTCCTCTTTAAAAAAATATGGCTTTCCAATAAAAATAAACTGAGCAAGGCATAGTAGCCTAATTACTAAAGTCCTCACCTTGCATTTGCCAGGATCCCATATGGGCACCAGTTCATATCCCAGATGCTCCACTTCCTTTCCAGCTCCCTGTTTGTGCCCTGGGAAAGCAGTAGAGGACAACCCAAAGGTTTGGAACCCCGCACCCACGTGGGAGACCTGGAGGAAGGTACTGGCTCCTGGCTTCTGACTGGCTCAGCTGCAGCCACTGCACTCACTTGGGGAGTGAACCAGAAGATCTTTCTCTGTGTATCTCCTCCCTCTCTGTACATCTGCCTTCCAATAACAAGCAAACCTTTAAAAAATAAATAAATAAATAGAATCAAAGAGGAACTGAAATGTTATTACAAATCATTGTTAAGCCCTAATATAGTTTTCTGCGCTATTATCAGATTAGACTTTTCACTTGCAAATACTTTCAATGTGTCCAACTCTAGAAGCAATCTTTCTACTGTGTTTTTTAAGTTATACAGACCAGACAAAATTTTAATCCTACTAAAATCACATCTAAAGTAAAATGGATTCTGATAGAGATTTTAGAGTGATCCAGGAGGAAGACAATAGCTTAGAAACTCACGACATTAGTTTAACTGCTTAAAGGATGCTTACCCACCACCCTCACTTCATTAGGAAGAGGTAATATCACTAGAAAATGCTCTGCAAGGTGAGGCACCACTACTTACTACCCAACACAACTTTGAAGCAAACAGCATACAAAACAATTGGTAGAAATATAAGGACTGGGACTCTAGGTTTACCATCCAGCCATGTAAAATACACTTCTACAACAGGCTGAGAAAATATGAGCAGTACTTCAGCAATGCAAAATGAAAGATAACACTACTACAACAGTATACACAATGAATAACAAATTACTGCAAAATGTATTGTTCTAAGAGGTAAAGAATAGAAAAGAAAAAGATTCTGAAAAAAAAAAAAACAAAAACCTTTAATAAACATGAACCTTTTAATCTGAGGAAATTTTGATAAAATATCCCCAATATTTCTTTTACACTACTGTGTGCTGCTAATTTTTTGTTGTTTACAAAAATAACCCTTAGAGGCCGACGCTGTGGCATGAAGGGTAAAACCACCGCCTGTGACACGAGTACCCCATGTGTGAAGCAGTCTCTCCACTCTCCATGCACCTTCCTGCTTATACACTGGAGAAGCAGCTGAGACTGGCCCAAGTGCTTGAGCCCCTGCACCCCCACTGGAGACCTGGAAGATGCTCCTGGATTCAGATCAGTCCAATTCTATATGTTGTGGACATTTGGGGAATGAACCAGTAGATGGGAAGACCTTAATATTCTTTTGCTCTCTTTCTCCAAATCTGCTTTTCGAAAAAATACTTAGAAAACAACAAAACACCTTTCTTAACATGGAGTCGAAACAAGGCCAGTAAAAAGCTACTTACCAATCCATTTTAAAAGAAAATTAAAAATAAATCGCCTACATAGAAGATAATTCAAAAGGTTTCTTACCTTGAATATACCAACCCAATCTTTTGGATGTGGATGGATGTATGGAGTTAAGGTGTAATGACATTCCAGGTGTGCATTAGGAAGATAACTCTTGGCCACATTTTGAAAGATGACATGTGCAAAGTTGGAAGTCTGCAATGGGACTTCTTGAAAGGATGTCATTGTGACTCTGAAACAAGTAATTCATACAAGTTAAATGACACCAACCAAGGATAAACTTATGCTCTTAAAAAATACATTTAACACAACTTTCATGGATATTTGTGTAACTAGTTACTGAAAAGACACAACTTTTTAAATATTGAAACTTTTTAAATATAGAAGATAAAAAAAGACAAATTAAAAATCAGTCAATATGGCTTAGAAAGTTATATGATTGTGATAAGATTAAATCAAAAGCTCCAGCTCTTCCTGGCAAGTGTTACCCTCTGCTTCTACTAAAACCAAAGCAAGGTACTTCACGTTGCAAGTACACACCTGGTGGCCCCTAGCAATACACACTAAAAACAGAAACAAGGACAGCTGAAAGTCAAGGACTTACTGGCTACTGCTCAACTAACTTTTCCCTTCAAAACACCTCTGAGCTTTCTACTTTCCTCCACATCCAGCTCAGTCCATCCTTCCCCTCTCTTCATGACTCAGGGTCCTGTAACTTCTTGATGCTTGCATTCCTGCCCCATCCTGACCCTCAATCTTGATTACCTATTGGAATCCTAAGCGGCTTTAAGAAAAAAAACCACAAACCTTCTGGAAGTGGGGCCTGAGAACACTTCATATACATACACAAGATTATATCAAGAATCTTGTCACAAAAGGTTGTATTGAAAGATATTTAGTCATACAAAATTTTAAAACCATGTATTCTAGAGGTCTTCAAACAGATTATAGAAAATGACTATTACGTGAACTTTAAGCATCATTATACATTCTGTTGAAAAATCTTTCATAAAAAAATGTTTTTTTATCTATTAGTGACTCAGTGGGTTCTCACAGGCTTAGTAAATATCAAGCACTGAACAGCAGATGAATGGTTAAAGTGGATTACAAAAACTAAGACTCAGATGTTACATATTTTGTGCTCTACTTCTGAAAAAATAAAACTAAGATTTTATTTTTTAAAAATGTTGGACTCAGTACAATTCCTGCATCTATAGTACATGCAAAAAACTATGACTAAATGTACAGCACCTGCTTCTGAGTCATTAAGGCAGGAATCCCTGTCACAAAGGGAAGAAGTAGGGTAAGAGTTTTGCTAACCAAACTAATTAAATTTACTTCAAAAATCAATGAACTTTCTACACCGCAAGCACAACAATAAGACTCAACTCACATCTCAACAACGACTAAGAAGCTTTACTGCTAAAACCAAAAATAGTTTACTTTCAGAACTGCTGCTTTTGCCGATTTGAAATATTAAAAGAATTTTTAAATTTTAAAGAAATACACTCTAGAAATGTATCCCTACTGCTTCTCTCATGACCACTGTACTGCTTTAGTGATCACAGTGTCATCCTGAACCTGAGAGCCATGACGCCTGCTGCCAGGAGGTCTGCAGGGTGCCGGCAGGAGGGGTGCTCCTCCTTCAGCTCTAACACTGGGGCTTTACTTTTTACAAGGCTGCCTCACAAAGGGACTCCAGGGAACACTCCCTGCCTCAGGGGAACCGAAAGGTAGCACTTAAACACCGGGGTAACTCTGCTTAACACAACTGCACACTCCTCTTGCTTTGTTTGAGATATGTGTACTAATCCTGACCTCCCTCCTCTTCCCAAAAATTGTGTGGAGGACCCAGCACAGAAACCTAGTGGCTAAACTCCTCGCCTTGCACGTGCTGGGATCTCATAAGTGTGCTGTTTCTAATCCCGGCAGCTCCACTTCCTCTCTGCTCCCTGCTTGTGGCCTGGGGAAGCAGTCGAGGACGGCCCAAAGCCTGGGTACCCTGCATTGACATGGGAGACATGGAAGAAGCTCTGGGCTCCTGGCTGCAGACCAGCTCAGCTCCAGCCATTGTGGCCGCTTGGGGAGTGAATCACTGGATGGAAGATCTTCCTCTCTGTCTCTCCTCCTCTCTGTATATCTGATTTGCAATAAATCTTTAAAAATGATTTTAAAAAATTGTGTATGGGGGAGAATTCACCTACTCCAGTTCTTTTAAGAATACTCCCTGCTAGTTAATAAAGCAGTAACTCTCTTAGCCAGTACTATCAACCTCTATTAGATAAAACTACCAAGACTGCATTAAATGGACTAATATTTTTCCATGAAGAATGTGATTAGGTGGAAAATTAACAAAGTTGTATTTATTTGCTTATAAAACAAGACAGTGAAATTTAAGCTTTCATTTATCAATTGAAAGCATCCAAAAAAATCCAATTATATGTAGATGTATTAGTAAATGTTTTGCATGTTTATAAATGCATCCAAGGGGACTCAAATTACATACCAGTTGTGAGGAGTGACTCAAACCCTGGCCCTAAAGAGCCTCACCATTTTGGACTCATGTAACATTTTAAATATCTGCTTCCCCTAGGTCTCCACTTCCTTAAGATTCACTGGCCAAAAAGAAGAAAAAAAGATTGATATGCCCTGTAAGTACAAATTTTATTGTAGCCAATCTGCTGTTAACTTCCTAAGTGTGTTCACACCAATCCCCTGTAACCTCATGGTGCAGTACCCGATTGCTCCATCCACCAATCCCCCGGGGCACCTCGAGCCCACTCCCCCACCCCACCACAAGAAGGCACACTTGGGCATGCCTCCCTCTCCTTCCTCTTGCTGCCCCTCTCTCTCTTCCATCGGAGTCCCTTCCTGCCACTCTTTCTCCCTCTCTGCATCCACTCCCACCCCCGCAGCCATCTTGCCTGCTGGAATAAAACCTCCTGTGTGGCGAATAACCCAAAAGAGCTAACGCCAATCTTTACTTAATAAAGGACAGGTGTAAAAACAGAGGAGAATTCTAAGGAGAATTTTTAATTTTTTTAACTCAAATTTACTGTTTGAAGTTTCTACAAGTGTATGCTTTCAATGAATTAAATGATTGCACGGACATGAAATCTCATTTTTGTGACTGTCCTAACAATGGCCCTCAATTTCACAGCTACTTTATCTAAATACTTGTAAAACTCACCTATCATTTTATTGTGTGCTTTATTAAGTTGCAAGATAGTTTCAAGCTATTTAAAATGTTAACACAAATGAACATAATCTATGACACATCATTATCAATCCATTTTGAACTGAAAAGTAAAATTTCTAATTCCCACACAGTTTCTCTAGCTCACTGCTCCCACCAATAAGAAACACAAAGGAAGAACCGAGCAAGCTTATGGAAATGCTGGAATTCACAAAGAATGGCCCTCTGGGCCCCCAGGAGAACTCACTGCAAAGTCACTGCATCACCTTGTGGTAAGGTCTGAGAAGTGTAGCTTCAACACATTAGAAAACAAAAAATGCTAACCGGGCCGCTGTTGGAGAGGACACAGCGGCTCCTACACACAGAGAAGCAAAAAGCAAACTCCACCAAGCCACCTCCTACTTGCTGTGCTCTGAAGCACCTCTCCAGGGAAAGGAGCACAGGGACGGCCAACTACGAACTCTGGTCCACTCTATCGCTGGGAAACTATGTCAAACATAATGCACGCACGCCAACCACAGCGCCCCCTCTTCTAAGTGACCTCCACACTCTCTAAACCTCCAAGCCTCTCCTTCGTGTATATTATTCTTGTGTTGTAACTACACATTATGAGGACCTGGTGCAATGCCTAAATCCCCACCCCCCATCCTGACCTCACACCCACCTCCCACAAGCACCAGGATCCCATACAGGCACTGGTTCATGTCCAGGCTGCTCCACTTCCCACGCAGCTTCCTGCTTGTGGCCTGGAAAAGCAGTTGAGGACAGGCCAAAGCCTTGGGACCCTGCAAGCTCATAGGAGACCTGGAGGAAGCTCCTGGCTCCAGGTTTGCTGAGCTCTGATCACTGAAGCCACTTGGTGAGTGAACAAGCAAATGGAAGATCTCTGTCTCTCCCCCTCTCTGTAAATCTGCCTTGCCAATAAAAATAATTTTCAAAAATACAACTACAAAGGTATTTTAATACCTTTAGTTCCTCCTTGTGAAACTTTTCAAGCCCTAAAGAGATCTGTTTTGGTAATGTTTGTTCAGTGCTTCCTGATACTCACCCTACTTAACCAACCCAAAAAATGTAAGCCTTAGCCAGCTTAGTAAGAGACACCATAAGAAAAACTTCAGCACACTTAATAAGGTCAAATTAACCTTTTTAATTATAATTACTTTAGTTCTAACAATTGAAATCAAATAAGAAGCAACTTTGCTTTATGTGCTAACATGACTATGGTGACTCTTTATTAAGTGTCCTAATGAGTTAGCATACACTACACTATTAAGTGAAATATCTTAATATCTGGGACTTGGATTAAAAATTCCAAGGGAGGGCCCGGCGCGGTGGCGCAAGTGGTTAAGTCCTCGCCTTGCATGCCTGGGATCCCATATGGGCGCCGGTTCTAATCCCGGCAGCCCTGCTTCCCTTCCAGCTCCCTGCCTGTGGCCTGGGAAGGCAGTCGAGGACGGCCCAAAGCTTTGGGACCCTGCACCCGCGTGGGAGACCCGGAAGAGGCTCCTGGCTTCGGATCGGCATAGTATCGGCCCACTGCGCTCACTTGGGGAGTAAATCATCGGACGGAAGACCTTCCTCTCTGTATCTCCTCTCTGTATATCAGCCTTTCCAATAAAAAATAATAAAAATAAATCTTTATTAAAAAAAAAAAATTCCAAGGGAGCGGCATGCATTTGGGGGCACAACTGAAGCGCCAATGATTTTCAGTCTGATTCCATTCTCCATCCAGCTTCCTGCTGTTGAGTAAAGAGGAAGGTAATGGCTCAAATACTTCGGTGCCTGCCTCCCACATGGAAAACCTGTATTGGGCCCGGCGCGGTGGCGCAAGTGGTTAAAGGTTCTCGCCTTGCACGCCCGGGATCCCATATGGGCACTGGTTCTAATCCCGGCAGCCCCGCTTCCCTTCCAGCTCCCTGCCTGTGGCCCGGGAAGGCGGTCGAGGACGGCCCAAAGCTTTGGGAACCTGCACCCGCGTGGGAGACCCGGAAGAGGCTCCTGGCTTCGGATCGGCATAGTGTCGGCCCGTTGCGCTCACTTGGGGACTGAATCATCGGACGGAAGATCTTCCTCTCTGTCTCTCCTCTCTGTATATCCGCCTTTCCAATGAAAAAATAATAAAAATAAATCTTTAAAAAAAAAAAAAGAAAACCTGTATTGAGTTCCTGGCTCCGGACTTGCACCTGGCCCAGCAGTGACTGCTGCAGGCACTTGGAGACTCCCAGATTCAGCCTTCACAGTGAAAGGGAAAGATGACAGAGGACAAAACAAAGGAGTTGGAGCAGGCTATTCATTTTACTGCTCCTACTCCTTGCAAATGTCCATAATAACATTAGTAAAATCAAAGCAAATAAGCAAATGAAAAAGACCAGTAATAAATTTTCCACATATACTCGACAGCAATACACTTCATTTTAGAATATAAACATTTTGTGCCTTAAAAATGTTGGGGAACAGATCTGGCGCGGTCCAATAAACAAGCCCTTTTCTAAAAATGTTGGAATTCAGTTAGTGGTTGACAGAATTACTAAAAGCTTTCAAATCTCTCACTTTAAAAAAAAAGATGAGCCTTTAAAATCATCTCCACATTTCAGTCCTACAGAACGCACACCTGAACAGACACAAATACCCGGCCTTGAAAGCATCTCCAATCACCCTCACCTAAGGACTACCGACTGGCTGTAGATAATCAGAAACGCTATGTCAGCAACCTGTGATGCAGGCAAGGCCCGCGCCTGCTCCTCTGTTCTGCAAGGATCATCTCTCCGAATCACGACAGCTGAGGGCACAGGGTCCTGCCCAGCTCTCACCCACACCACTCTGGCTTCTTTTTAATAAAGTGATTGCTAAAATGCAGTTATCTTTACCTAAGATATTAGAAGAGAAAAATTTTTTAATCTTCATCTAAAGGTTTACACGGGCTAAATTCTAAACAGCTGGAAGTATATAAAGTCCAAACTATACGCAATATCCATTCCAAAACAATGCAATCTAAAATAAATGAAATAATTCCTCCAAAGGGGTATACGAACATAATTACAATCGTTCATCAATATTTAAGCTTCTGTTAAAAGGCTTAAAATTCCAGAACTTTCTGGTATGAAAAATGTAATTACTGGCTAACTATACGCACCTGTTATTACCCCAACTGTAAACTACAGTCTAAGAATGCGACAATCAGGAAACATTAACCGCAACAGGATGTTCTTTGACGTGTAAAAGTCAAGTCGCAAAAACAAAAACAAAGAAACCCCTAAAGAGTAGTAAGAGATCGTTCCTAGCAAAAAAGGACCCTTTAGAAACCCGAAAGGAGAGCGCCTACCTCAGCCTCGCACGGGAGAGGGGCGCCTGAAGGACGGACGCGTTATTCAAGTGACCTTTTTAATGAAGCTGCTTTTGGGAACCGAACGCCACCGCGATCACGAGCAATGGTCCCTGCACAGCGCACAGGAATTTCTCTCAGAGCTGAAAAATGACGATGTATTTTCCCCATCTACCTTCCTGAGAGAACAGCAATCCTAAACTACTTCAGGAACTCTATGTCCAATGGCTCAGCCTTTTCTCCAAACAACTTTATCGGGCAGGTGCATGCCCACACACGCGCGCGCACACACCACACACAGGTTCACGAACGCCCGTCGGGACTTGTCCACACGACCTGCGAGCCTGCCGGGTGGCAACGGGCGAGACTAAGTTGACGCAGCAGAAGCCGCACGCCAATTCTCCTCAGCTGAGTCCTTGAGGCGTTAATGGGGAGGGATGGGGGGCTTTCTAGAAACAGGTGCGGGGAGGGCCCACTCCGCAGCCCAGGTGAACCGCACGACCGGCCTGGGCAGCGGACTCGGGGCCGGCCCGCAGCAGTAGGCGGCGCCCCGAGTCTTCTCCTCCTCCTCCTCCTCCAGGAGCAACTCAAACCAAAACAGCTGGCTTTCTCTCCGCAGTGGCGAAACCCGGGCGTCCTTTCCGGACACGTCCTATTAGCACTTCCCTAGCCGACCTACGCCGCCAGCACACACAGGACCCCCTCAAGACCCTCGCCCTGGGGTGGCACTCGCACACAGGAGCCTCTCCCCACCCACCCACCCAGCCAGCACGGCCCCCCGAGGCCTGCCCGCCGTGGGCGGGGGCCCCTCCCCGAAGCCCACGGCCGACCCCACACCCGCACACACCCGTCACAATCGCAGTCTGAGAGGAAAGGAAACGCCAGGTCCTTGGGGCGGCAGCGTCTCCACGGAGACCCTCAGCCGACGGCGGCAAGGGACGCCCCCCCCCCCCCGGCTCCTCCCAGGCTGAGGAGCGTAGCACGAGCTCCCCGAGCCTCCCCCTCAAAAACGCTCCACGCGCCTCACGCAGTGCAAGGACGGACCCGGGGGAAGACGCCTAACCTGGCGCAGGCCTCCGCACCGAGGGAGAACGTCAGACAGGCTCCCGAAGCCGAGCCGCCATCAGCCGCCGAACCCCTTCCGCCAACACCGCCTCCTTCCCCACACCGGCTACGCCTCCCCTCAGAGCCCAGAGCCGGCCTCACGTCACTTCCGCCCACGGGCCGTTCTCTTCCGCCGCCGCGTAGGTTAGGCCCGCCCCCTGCGCGTCACCCCGCTGCCGCACGGTCCCCACCCGCCGAGCTTTTGCGCTGTCTGGGTTTTGTGCCTGAGGGTGTTTCACCCCAGTCCTTGGTCGCAAACAAGGGCATTTTTCACTTTGTAGGGGCCACGTTAAACGGTGAAGCACATTACAAATGCGTAGTACGTTAGTACGTTTCATCTTTGCTTCCGCATGCTTAACAGGCATGAACTTCCCTAGGTAGTACATTAAATATTTGCTAACTTGTTCCCTTACCTATTTGAAATCCTTGAATTTGATTTTGTGCTGTACGTGATCATAGAATTTCAGAAAAATCAAAACAAGTCATTTGGTCCCAACTTGGGCATTTTATGAATAAAAAAGGAGTTATCACGCTCAATATAAGTAGTCAGTGCGGTTATAAGCAGTGGAAATAACCGTGTGCCTCAAGAAACGTAAACATAGCTGTGTACTTTATAAGTACAATTTTTCAGAGATATCACTGTACTTTTAAATCGCATATGTTACGTACTTGTAATAAATTTTTAATTACCACCAACTTAATGAAATCAGAAAAACAACATGCTTTACAAAAGCAAGTGATAGTGTTGCAGGATTTTTGATTCCGAGTATGGCGGCAACCTCAAATTCTTGTCTCGCAGGAAAGAAGAATTTTCGTGTGGACACAGTTTAGTTTTAAAGCAAGATTTATTAGAAAAGCTGGGAAGAGACCGTCCTAGCGACGGGAGGGGGTTTTGAGATAGAAAGGACCCTTACCCCCTGCCATAATGGCAGGAGGAAAAGTAAAAAGACCCTAGTGCTCTGCCATAGTGGCAGGAGGAAAAATAAGAACCCTAGTGCTCTGCCATAGAGGCAGAAGGACAAGAACCCAAACCCGTATTAATGGCTGGGAATGCACCTTTTAAAGGTTTCCCTGAAAGATGTTTCTCCATGAACAAAGAAAATTCCTGGTTTCCATGGCACCTGGCCTTGGGACAAAAGGCCACAGAGGTACCAGACATAGGATATTCCAGGCCTTGGGCAAATGTGTATTACTTCTTCCTGCTCTCCTTTCAATGATAAAGAGATCAGCCTGAGGCCCTCCCAAAATGGCTGGAGGTGATGGCTGATACTTCAGGTGGGGAATTGTTATGCTAATAGCACCCCTGTCCCTTGGAAGAAAGGTGCCCTGGTGAATCCAAGACATGGTGGGGAAATTCTCTTTTACTCGGGGACTCAGAATACCCTAACTGCCTACTACCCACTCTAACTCCTCTCTCAATAGGAAGACACTGTGTATAGGTGATTTTTAAATTCTTACTAGTTTCTTGGAACTTTTAGAACTATTTCCCAATCATGAAGATATTAATTTCAGAATTTTAGCTTACTTTATTCCTTTTAATGATGATGCCCTAAATTTCTAATTTCTATCATTCATCTGTTTTTGAGAGGCAGAGAGACTGAAAGAAGTCTCCCATCTGCCTATTGACTTGCCAAATGCTGGCAACAGCCAGTGCAAGGCCAGGCCGAAGCCAGAAGCCCGAAGCCAGGAGTTCAACCCAGCACTCCCATGTGGGGACTGTAAGGACTTATTCGAATATCCCACCCTGAACCCTGCACCATTTCTTCTTCCTCACAGTTCACGAAATTCGTGCCAGTCCAGCCATCCACCAATCAGATATAACCTGGCATTCCACCTGAGAATCCCACCCCTAATCTCCCAGCCCCTTCCCCAAACCCGCCCACTCACCAATCATCCCCAGGCATTCACCTGCAGGCACCAATCCCCTGGGGCCTTGACCTCAATCCCTCCGAATTCCCGCCCCCCCACACCTAGCAGACAAAAAAGGCTCCCAGGTGCAGCTCGTGCTCTTCTTCTTGGCCTCCTCGTCCTTGCTCTTCCCCTCTCTCCTTCTGGCCTCCCTTCCCCTCCTCCCCTTCCCCTTTCCCTTCTCCTGTTTCTGCCCCGCTGGAATAAACTTCCCAAGATATGTCGTTGCATCTGGTGTTTTCAGCTCATGGTAAAGAACCAGGTTGCAGGAATTAGCTGCGCGTAAGATATCGTAATGTCCTATGAACTAGAACTTAACTCTTTTTAAATAACTAACAGGTGGCAGGGACGCAAATCCTTGAGCCATCCGTGTTGTCTCCCAGGGTACACATTTAACAGGATGCCAGGATTGGGACTGAAATATGGAATATAGGTGTCCCACGGGACATCTTAACAAGTTGCCCAAATGCTCATCCATATTTTTTAGGCCATGTCTCTCCCAGCAAGGGCAAGATACATCTTCTCTGTATTTCGTTGATTTTTTTTTAAATAGCCTATGATATGTGAGGCGGCCTGCTTTGTCTATAAGAAATACAAGTCTATAATCAATTATATGAAACCGTGCTGTTAGCTGAGCTTCAGAATTCAAAACTTTTCAGCTTTTAATTCTTGTGAATTGACCAGATCTATCCCAGAAATGAGTCAGAGGCAGACTCTTAGAAGCTGAGGAGTCTTTATTCACCACCCGGCAATAACCAGTGACTGTCCCATTCCACCACACTTAGAAGAGGGGAGCAGCCCCGTTAGCCATGTTCAGGGGTTCTTAAACAATGGGTTCTTAAACCCAGGCAGCTAAGAGAGCACTGGTACACGATACAAATCATTCAGTCAACCAAGCTTACATCAGTGCACAATACAAGTGATCCAATCAACTGTAAGCGTTTGGAACACAGATAACCAGTTTAACCATCAGGCATTTAGGTTTTCTAATCAGTAAGAGTCCCATCCCACCTAGTAACAAACAACAAAACAGGTAAACAGGTGCTTCCAATTCTATTTACAGGAAACAATTTGGGTCAATCAGCTCACTGAGCTGTAAAAGAAAAGCAAGATCTCATACTGTAATGAGATGCTGCCTTGTGATGATCCCTCTCACTCCCCTTTCAAGAACTTCCAAGAACCCAAGGTTATGACAAAGGTCAGCTTGTGAACATGTCCCAGAAATGTTTCAGAAGACCCAGCCTTACTCTCGTCATTGTCCATCGTCTAGGCTGTCATAAGTAAGTCGTCCTGTATCTTATGGAACATCATCCCAAAGCATCAGCAGCAGCACCTGGCAGTCATTTTTTTAAATCAGGAAACATAAATATCATGCTAAGTAGGATAAACAAACTGTAGGAATAGTCTGGCTTAATCTGCTGTCTGGTATTTCAGGTCAGGTCTTGCCACTTTGCCAAAAGCTCAGGAGAGAGCACGTTATCCTGCCAAATGGTGAATAAAGGATCATCAGCCTACTTATTGTTACTTACTTATTGAAAATTAAGTCATTGGGCTCACAAGTTTTCTGAATAATTACAATTTCAAGTAGTTTCTAAACAGTTGTCCTGACCTGCCACCTGTCATCTGTCTTGTGTTTTGATAGGAAACATATGCCATGCCTAAGAGGCACTGTACCCTTAGTAGAACATGGGAGAGCAAAGGAAGGAGAAACACGAGTCCATGATAATTTAAGTATGTAAAGTATTAGACAAGCAACCAAATGGCAAAGCTCAGGATAGGCTGGGATTAAGGCTGTACTGTAATTCTTCCCTCATTACCCAACTCAAGAATCCATGGACTGTCATTTGCATTAACATTACTTCTAGTACCCCATGGACCCTTGACTTTCCATCTTGCAATATCCTGTAACATGTTACAGACTCCCTGTCATCCAACTTGACCACTGAAGAGTATGTCGTAGACCAAAAAAAAAAAAAAAAAAAAAAAAAAACCCACTTTGGAGCTGAAATTCAGAGTCTTGGGAAGTTTCATGAGTTATCAATGGGAGAAACTATAATTTATGATATTCAGAAACAGACCCTAGAGAAGTTTATGCTTCAGTAAGACCTTTGCCCCATCTGGCTCCTAAAAGTGTTCTTTGTTTCTTGTGCAACTGAAAGGTCACCAGAATGTAAATATCCTCTAACCTCTCTTCCTTATCTTTCCGAGAAGAGTAATAGCTCACATAGGTACTTGGAATTCTTAAGGTACTTAAGTCAACATGTTTCTTCCCTCTCAGTGTTTCTTATTAAATGTCTTTGTTTTGTGAGTCACTTGCATACTAACCATAATTAAAGTTAGTTAAAAGTAGCTGAAGAAAATGTTATTACAATCATCTTCTAAAGGCTTAACAAAGCTTGAATCCTAGTTTTAGACTGAAATGGGTATGGATCCCAGGCTGCTGCATCTTCTCAAGAACCCTACATGGTTTCTCTAGTCCTCAAGCCTTCTACCTCCGTTGTCTTCTACAAGTACTCAAGTCTCTTTCATTGTTCAAAAAGTTCCCTAGCTTCATATTTCCCTTCAGGTGCTACTCTTTTCCCACCTTCACTTAGGTGACTAAACATCTCACTTGTAGAAAGAATAGCCTAGATTGCAATCCATCACTTCCCATCCACTTCCCATACATGCTGGATGCTGCCCTGCTCACACCAAAACTCTGTGCATGAGGGTCATAAGATGCTCTAGACAGGCACACTTCCTGCAGATGTTAGCCAGGGTCTGACCACACATCATCATTTGCTGGGATTTAAGGGATCCTTGACAAGGAATTTGAATTTCATCCATGATCGGAGAGCTCTGCCATTTCCCTGATGGACAGCTGGTCTACTTCAAAATGGATCCTTGAGGGACTTGGCAATTGAGAGGTGCCAGGGATTTGGGGTGAGGGGGAGGGCAGTGACTGCCATACCATTGATCAGTGCTGCAGTGTCTCTGGATTTTAAATTCACCCTTTTGCCTGCTCTGTAAAAATCTTGGATCCATTATAGATTTTTTTCCTTTCAAAAAAAAAAAAGTTTTGTTTTTTTTTTAAAACCAAGAAAGTCATCTGACACTTGAGCAAACCTTTTTCTTTTGAACAAACCTTTTTCTTTTATCAGCTGTGACCCAACATTAAACTTTGTCAATAG